CAGGTTGTTCCCTGCATGTCTCAGGATACTTTATAATGCTGGGAAAGCTAGAACATAGGTCTTAAGTTTAATGGACAGGCTTCATGGTCATGACCATTTGTTACTCCCAGGGTTGCTACATAGTCTTATCATTTGCTAATTTCTAGTGGGCCCTTCCATCACCAAGCTTGGTTAATAAAGATGCTTTAATATATCCTAGACTTATCTGGCATGGTCTCTTTCACACCCTACAAAAACGTTCATATGCAGTTGTGGGTTTGAATCCTGGCTGCTCTGCTTCTGATCCAGCTTCCTGCTTATGTACCTGTGAGGGCAGCAGAAAATGGCCCAAGTACTTAAGCGTATCATCCACATGGGAGACCTGGGTGGTGCTTCTGGTCCAGCCTGGTCCAGCCCTGGCTATAGCAGCCATTTGGGGAGTGAACCAGCATATGGAAGCCTCTTTCTTCTTCCCTCCCTCATTTTCTGATGTTCTGCCTTTCAAATAAACAAATACATCTTTAAAAGGTGGGAGTAGTGGTGAGTGGGCCAGGACCAATATGGAATTCTGATGATTGATTTTAGGAACAATTTTTATCTCATATCTAATTTGAAATCTTCCATTCTGTATTTTCTTATGCTCTTTGGTAAAGCCTATTAATCATTCCAGCCAGGGCTTAGCTGAGGTTTAGGGGATAAAGGCAGGCGCCACGTCCATGTCTGGGGTCAAAGCTGAAGTAACAAGCGCTGTGACCTAGTGGCTGTGGGTGGAGCAGGCTGGAAGAAAGGCAGTGTGGAAGAGCAGTGGGGGCGGGCAGCCAAGGTAAGCTTTGCGGGAAAGCCATCACTCCGGGATGCTCCTACCTGCTGACGGAGAGGAAGACAATTTCCGGAATTACACAGGTTAACGTCCTGACTTGTATTTATGCGTATTAAAATAGAACCGAGCTCCCTCTTGGGAAAAACTCAGCAATCTACAAACAAGAAGAAATATCTAGGCCATAGAGAGAAAGACTGGCGTAGCTGCAAGGTGGATTTCAACATTGCATTTTTGTTTTCATTTGATATGTTCCTTGGGTATATTAGAAGTATGCATTAATTTTGCATTAAGCATAAGATTTAGGAGGAAACAGAATAACTGAAAACGATTATAAAATTTATCAGACGTAATATATTTGTGAGAATTGAGAGCCCTGATAGGAGAACTGCCCCTTTGCATTATAAGATAATATAAAACTAAAACCATTAAGGATTATGGTGCTAAGGTAAGGACAGATTAATCAAAACATGTGACTTGGAAACAAGCACTGTTTTTACATTTTTTTAACAACAAAAAAAGTGACATTAAATAATAGGGATATAATGGACCAAGAACAGTAGTTAGCTACATGCAATATACACATACAGTAAGGGAATATTTACATCACATCACATTCTTAAATTCCTGATGGATTCAAAAGAATATTGACTGGATGTCATGGTCAGAAAAGCCAGGGGCAGCTGGTGGGCAGTGGGTAAGAAAGCAGATCCCACATGCCATACTGGAGTGCCCGTTTCAGTCTGGTCTCTGCTTCTGACCCCAACTTCCTGCTGATGCACTGGGAGGTAGAAGATGATGCCCCGTTACCCAGGGAAGCTCAGATGGGGTCTGGGCTTCGCCTTGACCTGGCCCAGCCTGGGCTGTTCAGGCATTTACAGAATGAACTGGAGGATGCAAGATCTCCCCTCTCAGCCCCCTTCCAAAATAAAAAATGAAAATAAAATTTTTTAAGATTTATTTTATTTTTTATTGCAAAGTCAGATATACAGAGAAGAGGAGAGATAGAGAGGAAGATCTTCTGTCCGTTGATTCACTCACCAAGCGGCTGCAAACGGCCACAGCTGAGCCGATCTGAAGCCAGAAGCTAAGAGCCTCTTCCTGTTTTCCCATAGGGGTGCAGAGTCCCAAGGCTTTGGGCCATCCTCGACTGCTTTCCAAGGCCACAAGCAGGGAGCTGGATGGGAAGCAGGGCAGCCAGGATTGGAACTGGCGCCCATACAGGATCCTGGCACGTTCAAGGTAAGGACTTCAGTAGTTAGGCTACGTTGCCGGGCATGAAAATAAGTTTTTTTAAGTGGCTGGCACATAACACATGTTCAATGGTATTTGTGGGATAGATCTGCCAGAATTAGGAGTGATGACTTATAATTCTTTGTTAATAATGTCCCTTTTTTTCTATACATTATCTTTTTGCTTACTTGAAAGGCAAAGTTAGAAGGAGGGAAAGACAGACAAATCTACTGGTTCATTCGCCAAATGGCCGCAAGAACCAGCTCTGGGCAAGCTTGAAGCCAAGTCAGGAACTCCCTCTCAGCCTCCAGGTGTGCTGGGGTCCAAGTACCTGGGCCATCTACTGTTTTTCCAGGCACATCAGGAGGAAATAGATGCTGATGTTGTGGGTGGCAGCTTAACCCATGACACCACAAAGCTGGACCCTCACAATGTAAATTTTTTTTTCAATAGAAGCCATTTATTACCTTTCTTTAGGTCCCTCTCTGTAATTCTGCCTTTCAATTACATATTAAAAAAAAAAAAAAAGACTTGTTGCCTTAAGAGCCTTGAATTAATCTCTTAAGAAGTGATAGGTAACCAGCAAATATACAAATGTCTTTTTAAATTTTTTTAATTTTTATTTTGGATGGTGATACATAATTGATGGGGGGGGAGAGTCAAGGATTAGGGAAAAGTGGGTGAGATTGTTGTTTCTAAATTTTCTATTTCTCCTTCCTGTTTCTGCAGGAGGGGGAGATTAGAGAAGCCATACCTCCCCTCCCCACCACCCTATCCCCCTGGGGCGGGGATCGGCCACCTGGATCGGCCCAGGACCCTGATGTGGCACACTCGCTGAGGGTTCTACCCAGGTGGCTGTGATAGTTCTGAAATGCTGTCGATCTTGCTGGGCCATGGATGAGGAGACCCTTCAATGTCCACTGGCTGACATAGTCGACCTCAGAGTCTCCGTTTGCCAGATATTTGCTGTCATCACTTGTAGTTGTCCAAGTTTTTCTGTGGTTGTCCAGCTTGTCCTGTTCTGCGTCTTCTGCTATAGTACCAGATGTCCTTGCAGGCCCCAAGTGGCTGCCATAACCTCCTGTACGTCAGGGCCTGCCATCCACTCTCCGTCTTTTCCACCAAGGAGGACCAGTTCTCGCAAATGGGCCTATGGACCCCAGCCAGGTGACCCAGGCCATGCTGGACCCCCAGCCCTCAGGGATCACGGACCCAACAAATGCCTTTTAATTGGCAAGTCTGAATTATACAGAGAGGAGGAGACACAGAGCAAGATCTTACCTCTGATCATTCACACCCCAAGTGGTCTCAGTGGCCAGAGCTGAGCTGATCTAATACCAGGAGCCCAGGGGCTTCTGGGTCTCCCACGCAGGTACGGGGGTCCCACAGTCTTGGACTGTCCTCAACTGCTTTCCCAGGTCACAAGCAGGGAGCTAGATGGTAAGTGAAGCACCTGGGATTAGAACCAGTGTGCATATGGGATCCTGGTGTGCTCAAAGTGTGGACTCCAGCCACTAGGCTACAGCGCGGGGTCCCAACAAATGCCTTTTAAGGGGAAAAAAATTACCCTACCCAAGTCATCTTTATTATTTTACTTCAAAAATATTCATTTCGTATTTATTTGAAAGGCAGGGAGACACAGAGCTCTCTCATTGGCTGGCTCACTCCCAATGCCAGCTGAGCCAAGCCACTCCGTCCAGGTCTCCCACGTGAGTGGCAAAGCACACAGATACTTGAGTCTTCTTCCAGACCGAGCATTAGCAGGAAGCTGGAAACGGGAGCAGGGCCAGATTCAAAGCTGGGCAATCCACCGCCGATGTCAGCACCCCAAGCAGTGCGATGTGCCAGTGCATGCCCGCAGTATAAATTCCGTGGATTTATAGCATTTCTACAATCATGAAACCAAACAAGTTTTAAAACTTAAAAGACCGTGGCAGTAGGCAGTACTGCAAGACAAACACACACACAATCGTTTTGACAGAGGGTTGCTGTGCCTAGTGCCCGCTCCCCTTTCGCCAGGCTGAGGTGAATTTTGCCAACCACTTTTCCCAATTTGCGTCCAGGGCATCTTCCAAAAATATCGTGGAATTGTGTATTATGGAAAACTCCGCATAGATTTCAAAACTTTTTTATCCCCCCCCCCCCAAACTGTGCCAACTCGGACACCTTCCCAACTCCCTCTAAGCCAAGCCGGGCGGTGTCCGTTTCCAAGGGGCGCGGGACAAGCCCTGCCACCCGTCCCTCGGTGCCCACCACCCAGGCCCGTCCTACGGGAGGAAGGCACCGCGCTCGGTTCCCACCCTGGCCCCCAGGGAGCCGGCCGACTTGCTCTCCCGCATTCCTAGAGGACAGCTCGGGGACGCCGCCGGGAACACGCTGCACCAGAACTAATCCCTCATGATTCACAGCTCCCAGCACCGACACTCGGGCAGTCTCGGCCAGCTCCCCGGGGCCAACGACACGTCAGCCGGATCCCCCCACCTCCTAACTCCTGCTTCCCACAGGACTCCAAACTAGAGTTACTGGGCTTCTTCAAAACTGAGACGCCCCCCCCGTCTCTGCCTCAGTGGCGTTCCCCTTTCCCGGCTACGTGGGAGCCAAGTGCCGCTGGTCGACCCGCACTACCTAACTTCCCCCGCTGGGTGGCGAGAGGACGCCAGTAGGGATGCGCATGCCCGGTGCGGGGCCTCTGCCACCGCCGCGACGACAGCGCGTGCCAAGGACTATGGGAAATGTAGTTTCTGAGTCTCCGGCTTCTCCGCGCGCGCCCCCTGCCAGGGATCCGAACACGACTTCAGCTCCCAGCAGGCCGGCGGGCGCGGGTGGGGACGGCAGGAGAAGAGGGAGGGGCGAGTGAGAGAAAAAGGTGGGCGGAGTCGGTGGGAAGGCCGAGCGGAGTGGGTGGGGCCTCGGCCGGCTGAGCCGCCGCTGCCGGCGGTCTAGGGGGAGCCGAGACGCGGGGCCGGGAAGCGCCAGGATCCCCTCACGCGCCCCCGGACGGGTCGCTCGGCCGTCGGCCTCGGCACTTCCAGGTTCCCTTCCCTGTCCGCCGGGACGCCCGAGAGCCCCGCGCGCGGCGGGGGCGCGTGGTGGAGCCGGCGGGGGCGGCCAATGCGAAACTGGCTGGTGCTGCTGTGCCCGTGTGTGCTCGGGGCCGCGCTGCACCTCTGGCTGCGGCTGCGCTCCCCGCCGCCCGCCCGCGCCTCCGGGGCCGGCCCCGCAGGTGAGGTCCTGGGGCGGCGCGAGGGGCGGGAGGCCCGGCTGCGGGTGGGGTGCCGCGGACGGAGCTCCTCCGGGAATGGCTGCGGGTCGGGAGGGGGGGAGCGCGGACAGCGACCGAACACCACGAGACAGACCTTGCTTTTCTCCCTCGGAATCTGAACGTGGGACAGAACTTGTGGGATATTTGTTTTTGCGGGTCCTTGCCGCCGCCCCTCACCTCCCTGCTCCCCTTCCTGGCCCCCCGGGGCCGGTGCCCGCAGCGCGAGTCCTTCGGCTGTCCCCCAGGCCTCGCGTGCGGCGCCCCAGTCCTGCTCGGCCGGACCCGAGCCCCCCTCCCCGGTGCCCTGCAGCCGCTGCTTTCTGCGAGCTCGGGCTAGCAAGTTGTGTTTGCGTCTCCCGAGTTGTGGGTCTTTGCGAGGTCAAGACGCTGAGTCTGATAGCGCCGTGGATCTTGCCTGTGCGTGTGTGAAAAGGTGGCTGGGTTTTACTTTTAAGGAATAATTTTGCTGTTAAGAATGTTCTGTTTTGCATTCTTAGAAGAAGCTCGAAGTCGGTTAAACAAATCTGAAATAAGGCACTGCTGTGAGTGGAAATCTTCCTTTGAGTTTAGTTGCAGTTATGACATACACATGGCCATAAGCAGGTTCTCTTTAACAGGCGTGCCCGTTTGCTGTATTAACGCGATCTCTGTGGCAGTGAAATCTTTGTTCCGAAAGGTTGGGAACTTAATAGAATGCTTTGCCCACGGCGGGTGCCCAGGGCATTATTTTACTAGTGGGTTTCATCACCCTCAGCAGTAGGGGTTTTTTTTGTTTTGTTTGTGAGAGCTTGCCCTAGGATAGGCAGAAAAACCTTGAAAGCTGTTTTGGAGATGAAATAATAGTCATTTTGGGTTTTAGGCACATTCCCACAGCAGTTGTTTACTTATGTTAAGATTTTTAAAAGTCAGCGTTGATTATTTGCGGTTCAGCAGATGGCTCTGTGTCTTAGCTTACAAGTAGAGTACTTGGCATTCCTTGGAACAGTCTCGTTGTTAAATGAGATTATATTGGGGTTATTGTGATAACGATCTTTTTTTTCTTCATTAGACAAACCACTAGCTCTCTGAAAGCCTGTTCGCCTGGGGCCAATAGAATTAATTACTATTTATCTCATCCAAGTAAGGTGGTTCGATCTGTTAACACGTGTGTTTGGTTTAAGTTTTGTAAGTGGAGCTAAGAGGGCGTGAAGTGCTAGGCAATGCATTTGGAGCTGGCGCTATAGCCTGCTTGCTTATTGCACAAACCCTAGTGGAATGTGCTTGAACAGCCCTAAGATACTTATGACTTATATCACGTCTTGGAGTTCAATACAAAGGCAAAAACCCTACATCCCAGCTTACATCTAAGAAGACCCCCTGATAGCCTCTTCGTTTGAGGCAAATTTTTCCTATTCCCTTAGTGCTTGGAGGGTGCCTTTATCCGCCCTCCAGCTAGACTACCTACATGAAGGAAAGACATAGATCGTCTTAGATGCTGATTAATAAAGAAGTGAGAAGTGCAGTGCTAGCCATATAAGTTAACTTCGACTTGAATGCATATTGTATTTTTTTCTGGTCAGATAATCAGGATATTTTATTTTGAACTGAACCTGATGAGCTTTCCTTTTTTCCCCCTCCTTTTGTCCTTTCTGAGTTAAAACTAGTAGCAGCATCTTGATTGCTAAGTTTTCTTTTTTCTATGAAGCTATTATATTTAAATGAAAACATTTGGATGTTTTTACATCTTAATACACTTTAAGCCTGACTAGGAAGAGAAAACCCAAGATTTTGCGAAGTGTTCTTCCCTTAAATTGTCATATAAGGATTTTTTGTTTGTTTGTTTTCTCTCTCATCTGCCTTTGTTTTCAGTCTCACTAAGCCATAGCAGTAATTCTGGAAGGAAATTTACCTTTCCTGAGTATTGAAAAAGGCCTTCTGTCTGGCAGCTGATTTAACAGATAGTGGGGTACCTGCTTTGCTAGCTCCTGTTGTAGGAGTTACTGCCGTAATCAAGCCGAAGCACCTGCCCTCCTGTGGCTTACAGTCTACAGGGGAATAAGGAAATAATCACAGCTGTCACCAGGGGTGGTGATGAGTGTGCTGGAGGAGAGGGAAGGAGTGTGCGAGGATAGAGGATGAGGGGCGGCTGTGAGGTTGGGGAAGGACTCGCAGGGACCAAAAGAGAACGTGTTCTGGTAGGACCAGGATCAGGCGCAGGTGCGGCTGCACTGAACATCTGAAGCCGGTAAAGGAAGCGTGAGTGGCATCCCTCACACCTGTGGGTGCCAAGGGCCAGGGAGAATAGGTACAGCATTTCATTGCACCGCACAACTTGGGGGCAGTGCCTTAGCAAGAATGGCTAGTTTCTAAAACTAGCATGACAGGACAGGCAGAGTGCGTAAAGACGGTGTGATGTTTGGGACGCTGTATTCCAAGTTGGAGTGCTTAGCTTCAGAGTCCCTACTCCGGAGGCGGCTTTCTGCTAACAGGTGCTCTGAGAAGCAGCAGGTGATAAATGGCGCAAATGGCTGGGTTCCTGCTACCCATGGGGGGACCTGGGTTGAATTCCAGGGTCCTGGCTTTGGTCTTGCCCGATCCTTGCTGTTACAGGCACCTGGGGAGTGAAGCTGCAGTTGGGAAATCTCTGCCTGCCTGCCTGCCTGCCTGCCTTTCAGTTCTTCTTTCTTTTGTAGAGATTTAATTTTACTTGAAAGTCAGAAATACACAGAGAGGAAAAGACTGAAAGATCTTCCATCCACGGGTTCACTCCCCAAATTGCCACAATGGCTAGAGCTTGGCCAACCTAAAGTTGAGAGCCAGAAGTTTCTTCTGAGTCTCCCATGTGAGTGCAAGGACCTAAGACCTTGAACTATCTTCTGCTACTTTCCCAGGCCGTTAGCAGTGAGCTTGATCAGAAATGAAGCAGCCAGAACTTGAACAGGTGCTCCTACAGGTACCAGAGCCGCAGATGGAGGATTGGCTTGCTACACCACTGTGCCAGCCCCACCTTTCAATTCTTCATTATTTTTAAGATTTACTTATTTTGATTGAAAAGGCAGATTTACAGAGAGGAGAGACAAAAAGAACTTCCATCTGCTGGTTCACTTCCCAAGTGGCGGCAGTTGCTGGAGTTGAGCAGATCCAAAGCCAGGAGCCCTCTGGGTGGTCTCCCACGTGGGTACAGAGTCCCAAGGCTTTGAGGCATCATCGACTGCTTTCCCGGCCACATGCAGGGAGCTGGATGGGAAGTGGATCAGCCAGGACATGAACTGGCGCTCGTATGGTATGCTGGTGCCTGCAGGTGGGAGATGAGTTGAGCCATCATGCTGGCCCTGCTATGAAAGAAAATTTTAAAAAATGTGACAAAGGAGAATTTTCTTTGTAGATACTGAGAAGAAGGAAATCAAAAGAAAGGAAAAGAGCATTTGCACTCAAAAAATATCTAAGTGTCAGGTGTGGTGCTGAGTGGATAGGCCTGGCTCTCAAGGGGCTCACTGACTTTGGATGGAAATAGATGTAGGGCAAGTAGGAGGTCAAGACAAATTGAGCTTGTTTTGCGATTTTGCCTAAGGCTGAGTCTTCCCAAATTATCCTTAGATGCTAATTATGTCTCTGTGCTTTGGTTTCCTTATTTATCAAATGATGATCTCATAGGGCCATTGTGAAGATTGAATTAATAAAACACCCTGAACAGAGTCTGTAGTAAACACTGCAGGAAGCCTAGGCAGGAACGGCTCGGTGGCTGCCTGTGCTTGCTGTGATCTGGGAGCTAACTTCAAGATCGGGAGAGTGCACTAACCAGGGTGCATCGACCTGTACATTGTTTTTGGAGAGACAATAAAGACAGGTCTTCTCCTCCAGTGGCTGCAATGGCTGGAGCTAAGTCGATCTAAAACCAGGAGACAGGAGTCACTTCCGGGTCTCCCACACAGATGCAGGGCCACAAGGCTTTGGGTCATCCTCTACTGCTTTCCCAGGCATCAGCAGGGAGTTGGATGGCAACCGGAGCAGCCAGGACATAAATCATTGTCCATATGGGATCCCAAGGCATGCAAGTGGAGGGTTAGCCAATTGAGCGATCATGCCAGGCCCTTAGATGTGTGGTGGGTTTGCATATCTCATGTTTAAGATGTTGGCCTGTTTGGGGTTGGTGACATCACACAGCATACACATGGAAGTGGAGTCTCGGCCTGATTTTTAAAACTCCCTGGGCATGTTTCTGAAGCATTAGCGTTGAAGTCAGCCTTGCTTAGACTTTAATGTACTTTTGGATGTCCACTCTCATCAGCGCCCAGCAGGTTGCCAGACGCTGAGGATCTATTACATATGTCTTCAAGAAACGGGATGGCTGTGTCCCTGGGGTGATGGCTTGAGGTTGTGATTTGCTCGTGCCGGTTTGAAGACTGTTTGCTGCTGTGTTGGGGCCTTCTAGAATGGTGATCATACAAAATGGCCAGGAACTTAAATGAGTGAATCAAGAGAGTGAATGAGTTTTTCACCTATTAAGCACTTAACAAGCCATGATGACCATGTCATTTATTTTTTTTTTCTGAAACAATAACACAAGTTATTGGTAGAAATGTTTGAAAATTTTTAAAAAGTAAAACATTGCATCTAAAGCACACCAATGTAGTGTTCTGAGAAAATGAATGTTTTAACGTGTGTTGCTGTGCCATGTACGTTCTTCACGCATGTAGTCGTACAGTCTGGTGTCTCTTGCCAGACCTCACTGATGAGCACCCAGATTTTAAAGCAAGGAGATTGCCGGTGCCCTGAAGTGGTCTCCATGCTCCCCATTGCTGCTGCCCAGGGTAGCCACCATCAGCCTGCTCTGCAGCAGCAGCCAGTGAACTGCCTCTGGACATTGCAGGAATGGAAGCAGACAGTTCCATGGACCGTTCTGGCAGCTTGCTTTTCTGACTTCATTTGATGTTGAACACTACCTAATGATGTGCTTCTAGCATCATTTTAATGACCGCATAGTGTTCTATCATGTACTTGTGCCATAAGTTATAGAACAGGTCTCATTTCTTGTGCTTTGATACAGCTTACAGCCTTTTACTGTTAATAAGGAACACTGAAGAGTAGAGATCTTTAAGGTGACCTCTGCTTATTTCTTTAGGATAAGTTCTCAGCTATTGATTTGCTGGAAAAGACCATGCTAAGGTCCTTGGTGCACAGGGACTAATTACTCTGCAGAAGATTGCACCAGGTGACATTCCTTGGCAGCAGTGAAGCCATTTTTGAAATTGTTATCAACGTTACCTTGACATACCCATCATTTGGTTATGATTTAAGAGACGTTTGTCAGTCTGAATGGAATGTAGAAGAAAACTGGAATCTAACTGCTGGCCGTAGGTTTGATTCCTAGTGAAGTTGAACATTTTGTAATAGTTGTAGTCAGCTTCCTAGTTTGTCCTGTTTTTAGCGCCCCCCTCCCGCTTTTTCTGTTTCAAGGCATCAGTGTCAAACTAGGTACCCTGTGCTTGCAACATAAAGCAAAAAGTAATGAGAGTATAGTCCCGAATTAATAAGGGGAGGGGGGTCTAGGAGCTGGAGCTGAGTCCTTACTCAACTATGTATTCAACACACGTACGACATCCATTTTACACTGTGCATGTAGCACCCCGGAGTCTGTTGGACCAGTTTGCGTTGTTGGTATGTCGTCGAAGGAGTTTTTTCTGAAGCCTGACCCGAGGGCATCTGAAAGCAGTAGTTCTCCAAAAGGCCATGTACTTCTCTGCAAGAAACGCAGAAGCAGCTTAGACAGGGATTAGCAGCAGGGAGGACTGACAGTGGCCGAGATGGAGAAAGATCAAAAAGTAGTTCACCTCCACAATCCAAGGGATTTTCACATGCCACATGATTCTCTTTGTGTTTATTTACTCACTTATTTTTAGAAAAATCTTGGTTGGCAGTGATACGGAGAAGTCGGCTAGGGTCCGCTCTTGTGCTAGTCCAGATGGATGGTAACAGGCGAACGGGAACAGCAGCTAAAATTAATGACACACAAGGGATCGACTGGAGGAACTTGTCATTGAGATTTTGAATCATGAAGAAAAATTAAATTGTGTTCCATTCAGTCTTTCTAAATGATTTGTTTCCCATAAAAAGAAATAATTGTCATCAAGAGTGGTTCTGTTATTTTGAAAATTTGCTTTTGTACAGCAACTTTATTTTCTTTTTAAATACTGGTTCAGTAGGTAGGGGGAGTTTCCCATCAGCTGCTTCATTTTGCCAAGTGCCTGCAGCAGGTGGCGCTATGCCAGCAGGAAGCCAGGAGCACACGCCAGGGCTCCCTGGTGGGTGGCAGGAACCCAGAGCCTTCACTGATGCCTCCCAGGGTCTGCGCTGGCCAGTGTGGCCTGTGGAGCCAGAGCTGGGAGTTGCATGCAGGCACTCATGCAGGACAGAGCTGTCTCCTGGGCCCTTCACCTTCGTTCCTGATGAGAGGTACACCAGGCACTTAGGGGAAATGGAATTTTATTCTTTTTTTTTTTTAAGATTTATTTATTTTCATTGCAAAGTCAGGAAGAAGGACAGAGAGGAGGATCCTCCATCCGATGATTCACTCCCGAAGTGACCAACGACTGGTGCTGTGCCGATCCAAAGCCGGGAGCCAGAAACTTCCTCCAGGTCTCCCACATGGGCGCAGGGTCCCAAGACCTTTGGCCAACCTTAACTGCCTTCCAGGCCACAGGCAGGGAGCTGGATAGAAAGTGGAGCTGCCAGGATTAGAACCGGCACCCATATGGGATCCCGGCATGTTGAGCGGGAAGACTTTAGCTGCTAGGCCACTGTGCCGCCCTCCCACCCTTCACTTTTAATGTATTTGAAAGGCGGAGTAGCAGTTCTTTCATCTATGGGTCTGTCTTCCAGGTGTCTAATAGCCAGGGCCCAGCCAAACCAAAGGAACTCCATTGGAGTTTTCCATGAGGATGGCAGAGGCTCAAGTTCGTGGACCATTATCATCCCCTACCTGCCTAAGCATTGTTAGGAAGCTGGATCTGAAGTGGAGGTGTAAGAACCCAAGTTGGCTCCCTGGTGCTCGGGCGCCACAAGCTGCTGCCCAGCAGGTGTTTTGAAACAGATATAAGCAAAGAATATCCAGAGGCATGTCACCTCAGGCTAAGCTGCCAGCTGTGACGGGGCTGTGGCAGCCCCTCGGAGCAAGTCTCCAAGTCCTGGCTGCTCCACTTCTGGTCTAGCTCTCTGGAAGGGCAGTGGGAGAAGACCCGAGTGCTTGGGCCCTAGCCGCTCATGTGGGAGACCTGACTGTCAGGCTCCTGGCTTCAGCCTGGCCATCAGGGCCATTTGGGAAGTAAGTCGGTGGATTGAAAATCTCTCTGCCTCTCATTCTGTCTTTAACTGCCTTTCACAACTGTAAAGGGGGATTGGGAGAGCTTGGATATCTGTCTCTCTGCCTATGGATTTCAGTAGCTTTCTGTTGAGCTCATTCAGCATGTTGAGTGTGGAACCACTAGTATGGCCTGCATTTGCCCCTTTCCGGTCATTAGAATGCACTCTGTATTCCTGTCACACTGGGGAGGAGCAGGTCATTGTTGTTTCATGTCAGCATTTAGGTTCTCCCAATTCCGGCTCATTTAGAATTTCAGTGATAGATGCAACTTTCATGAGTTACATGTCTGAGAAAAAGATGTTTCTGGGCCGTGAATTCAGAAAAGTGAATGAGCTGACCCTCGTCTCCAGTGATCTGCTTGTTACTAGCTTGATGCTTGGCCTGCTGTTACCAATCAAGAGATTAGAGTTTAGTCCAATAAGTTACATTAAGCTGTATAGCTCTAGAATAGAACAGGGGTGATGATTGGAGCTAACTTGCCTTGGATTAAATCTTAGCCGAGCCATTTACTAGCCTTTTTTTTTTTTTTTAAGAAAAAAGATTTCTTTTTTAAAGATTTATTTACTCGAAAGGGGGAGTTAGATCTTCCATCCACCCATTCATTCACTCCCCAGGTATCTGAATGTCCAGAGCTGAGCTGGTCCCAAGCCGGGAGCCTTGTGTTTCTTCCAGGTCTTCCATGTGGGTGCAGGGGCCCAGGTGGTTGGGGTCATCCTCTGCTGCTTTCCCAGGCGCATTAGCAGGGAACTGGATTGGTAGTTGAACAGCTGGGAATCGCGCAGACATCTCATGTGGGTGCCAAAGCTTTACCTGCCAAGGCACTGGCCCTCTAGCCCTTCAGCTTAGGACAAGTAGCTGACTTCTCTGTAACTGTTCCATTTGTTTGATAAATAGTTCCTTCATAGGGTTGTGAACATTAAGTGGTACTTGTCATACATTAAGTGTTCAGTACGTATGATGTGTTACTCAGCAAGCTTCATCCATGAAAGTTTACATTGACATTGAAGATTCTGCTTTTAGAAGAATTCACTTTGGTACAAAACTCTTAGTAGGATAAAATAACAAATATCTTTGTTTAACTTGGAATTAAACTATCTTTTTGAACATTTATTTACTTGGAAGGCAGAGTTAGAAGGCGAGGTGGACACTGCTGATTCAAATAGCAAATCATGTGAATGGTTCATTTTTTACTGTCTTAAGGTCCAGAAGGTAGAATTTCAATCTCTAAAACATCCTTAGAGGGCCCGGCGCGATAGCGTAGTGGTTTAAGTCCTCACCTTGCACGCCTGGGATCCCATATGGGTGCTGGTTCTAATCCCGGCAGCCATGCTTCCCATCTAGCTCCTTGCTTGTGGCCTGGGAAAGCAGTCAAGTACAGCCCAAAGCCTTGGGACCCAGCACCTGAGTGGGAGACCTGGAAGAGGCTCCTGGCTCCTGGCTCCTGGCTTTGGATTGGCTCAGCTCTGGCCATTACAGCCACTTGGGGACTGAACCATCAGATGGAAGATCTTCCTCCCTCTCTCCTCCTCTCTGTATATCCAACTTTCCAAAAATAAATAAATCTTAAAAACCCAAAAACTTATCCTTAGAAAGAAGATGGGAAGATAGTTTGTCCTTGTTTTTCATCACCATTTTTAAGGCTTGAGAGCTACGTAATTATGTATGGCTCTAATGGGAAACCTATTTCATCTTTATTCAGTGGTTGGAAATGATCCAAAGTATCCACAAAAATGAATTATTGAAGTCTAGAAATCTTTGCTACATTAGCCACAATGTTTTTTTAATGCAGTAGGCTCTAGGTATTTAGTCTGCACAACAAAAACAGATTAAGATGTTTTCAAAGGACCAAATAAAGTTTTTTTTTTTAAAGTCAAGGAGCAGATTCTTATGCTAAGATGATTTTAGAAGATTATGACAATAGGGACATAGGAGTTTTTGCACAATTATTTTCTGCCATGGATGTGGCAAGGTTTTAGTGGCTGGTGTCATGGTATAGTGTGTAAAGCTTCTGCCTGTGACTTAGGCATCCCATACTGTCAGACCAAATTCTGAACACACATCCCTCCTCCTTCTCAATTGTTAGATGTGCTCTGGGTTTATGCGTAACTACAGTTTTTTCTTTGTCATCCTCTGTAAACCTAAGCATGTTCTTAGGAACTTTATTTAGTGTTACATGTTGAACTCACAGGCGTTGAAACCACCTATTTCTAATTTATCTTTTTGCTTATTTCTAGATAATTCAGCCTTATCACCACAGTGGAAAACTAGGCACTATGATGTGGTAGTGGGAGTGTTATCAGCTCGCAATAACCATGAACTTCGAAACGTGATAAGAAGCACCTGGCTGAAGCATTTGCTGCAACATCCAGCGTTAAGTCAGCGGTAGGTTGTTGGAGTCTCCCCTGTCTAGTCTGCAGAAAGAAAAACCCGATTTGAGGCATCAGGATTGTGACTCAGATAAGTGGTCTCTGTCTCAGAGATGTAGCCGTTGAATTTTGCTTTTTTTTTCTCCCCCCATTGTAGAATTGATTCCCAAAAGTAAAGTCAGCCAAAAATTTGAAACCAGAATTGGTCTCATTGGAGAATAGTAAGCTGACTAGTTCACAGACTTGGTATTTATGGCTAGTTGAATGTGGATTTTTTGTTTGTTTCTTTTTTGGGGTGGTGGCAGGGGGGCGGGTTGCTTTAGAATAGCAATTCTTACAAGATTCTGTTCCAGACTTGATTTCCGCTTAGACATGTGTATAAATCTGGGTTTTTTTCCACTACTCAGAAACTTAATTTTTTTTTTTTCAGTTTGAGTAGGTTTTTCTTGTAACATAGTTTTTGTGTTTGTTGTGTAGTAGTCTTTACTAGGTTGACCTGCAGTGTGTGTGTGACATGCCAGACTCTTTCCAGGCTCCCGTAAGAGAGCAGAGCTTCCGCAGCCCCTGTCCTGCCCATGTCAGGTGGCTCAGTCGTTGGTGGGGACCTGCAGGCCCGAGTCCATTCCCTGGGAGCCCAGCCTTGGAGATGTTATCCTGAGGCACAGGGGAGAGTGGCGTGGGAAGTCGGACTTGTCATTAGGGGAAGAACATAGGTGATGAGCAGAGAAAGCACTCTGGAGATTTTATCAAACTAGTGCTTTTGTAACTGAGGAGCTCTATAAGCGAATTGCTGTTGTGAATTATCTTGTCACCGGTAGTGAGCATTTATAGATTTCTCTCTTACTCCTAACAGCATTCATTCCTTTTCAGACAGATTTCTTCAGTTCAAGATCACAATGATAATAGAACGTAATATGGGCAATTGCAAACTTTCACCATTATTACCAGAACCCCTCTAAAACCTGAGCTTCTTTTGCATCTCAGATAATAGCTCCTTTCTCCTCACTGCCTGGACGATAAGCCCCAGTGCCATGTCAGGCCGTCTCCCTGGTGCTGCCTGCATTTCAGTTCCAGAACTGAACCTTTTTCCACCTTCATTCCCACCCTCCTGACCTAAGCCACCCTTGTCTCTCACCTGGATTATTACTGGGGCTTCTTATCTGCCCTTCCTGCTTCTGCCTTTGATCCACTCCCCCCACCCCATATTCTGTTTGGAAGAACACCCAGAGTGGTCCTTTTCAGATTAATCATGTCATGTCAATTTGCTTCCCATACTTTTCTGTTGACTTTGCTTTCTTTGTTCAAGTGAAATGCCAGGTTTCCTGTGGTCTGACCAGGTCTGTGCCACTGTCCGCTGCAGTGGCCACCATGCTGTGGTTCAGTACACTACCCCTGCCGCTCCCAGTGGCTTGGCTCCCGCCGTCCTGCCTGCCCACCCGCCCTACTCTTAGACTGAATGTCCCTGAGGCTCGCTTCCTTTGGGACCTTGGATGTCACGCTAACAGATAAGCCCTCTGTTAAATAGCATCCCAGTCCTGTTTTGTGTCCATCTTCTCTTCCTTGGCTTGATTTTTTTTTTTCTTTGTAGCACAGCCAGCTATCATATTTATTACATTAAGTTGTACGTATGAATCACTTGTCTGTGCCCATGAGAATGTAGGATTGGGGAGCATTGGGGGCTTTCCATTGTTTGGTTGTAGGAAGGCTGTGAAGAGTCCTCTTAGGAAAAACTGCACAAATTTCAATTTGATTTAAAGCACATCTTTCAGTTCCATTTTCCATGAACTTTTAAAAGATCCCCAATACCTAAAACCCACCTTGGCACAGAGAAAGGCAGATGACTCAAAACTAAAAGTAGTGAGTAAACTTCACATTGAGACATGCAGCAGTAATTCATTGCCATCATAGCAGTGTTGGTTTAATTGAAATTTAGTAAGTACAGCGTTTTCTTTTATGAAAATGGTGAATATCTATATGAAAACAGATAAAGCCAAAAATGACTTGGTGGAGCAGAGTAATTTTCAGAATGTGGTCAGAGGAATTAAGACAGCTAAAAGGGGGCCCGGCACGATAGCATAGTGATTAAGGTCCTCACCTTGCACTTGCTGGGATCCCATATGGGTGCCGGTTCTGGTCCTGGCAGCTCTGCTTCCCATCCAGCTCCTTGCTTGTAGCTTAAAAAGGCAGTCAAGGATGGCCCAGGTCCTTGGGACCCTGCACCCGTGTGGGAGACCTGGAGAAGTTTCCTGGCTCCTGGCTTCTGATCTGCACAGCACCAGCCGTTGCGGTCACTTGGGGAGTAAATCATCAGATGGAGGATTTTCCTCTCTGTCTCTCCTCCTCTCTGTATATCTGACTTTCCAGTGAAAATAAATATTAAAAAAAAAAAGCTAAAAGACAATTCTGGTGTAGCATATATTTAATAACTTAGCATATTTGTCCAATTCTGTCAATACCTTTATTTCAAATGCTGGTTCATAAAAACCATATAACCTTATTTGTCCATTATTAGAAGAAAGTGTGTTTCTGTGGTTATGGCACACTCTCAGAACTAATGTTTCTCCAGAGGAGCAAAAATCAACATGTATTTTGATTAACTTAATTAAGCCTAAGTCTTTGTCATAAAACCATAATTTTGTCAATTTAACATATTCACTGTGTGTCTGCAGCAGGCAGATTACATAGGTAGTGCCATGGAATACAAAGGTAGATAGATGTGTTATAACCCAGGTGTTTGAGGGGACTTGAGGTCAATAGGAAATGGATGTGATAGTGTATGTAATAAGGTGTTACATATGTTGTGTTCTAAAGAGGTATCGTGTGTCAAACTGCCAGCAGTTGTATGTACCTGGGGTCCAGGGAGTACCATTATGTTGAGAAGTGACAGAGCATGCACCGCGGAAGAAATGAGGGACAGAGAAAAGCAGATTACAGAAGGGCAGGACTGTGGCTCACACCCCACATATTGCCTGTGAAATAATTTGGTCTGCCTCTGCCAAGGCACCTGTAGGTGGAACTCAGTTTAATACCTCTACAGCAGACTAATTTTTAAGTGCTAGTTTTGTATGGCCTACAAGTAATGTTTCTAATATCCAAATGGCCTTTGGCAGAAAGAAGATTCCCCACCCCTGAAAGAGAGGAAGGAGGGCCTGTGAGAGATGAACAGTAACCAGAGCGTGCAGAAAATTCTGTGGAAGGTTAAGCAGAAGGAAAGGCCTTTTCGGACCAGAGGGACTGAATGAACGTGGTGGCCTCATCAGACAGTAAGGTCATTGAGCATAGAAGAGGAGGGGCTAGGTTGACTGAAGAGTCAAAGCCCAGTCAAGCCAGGACTAGATGAGGAGAGCGGGTTTCACAGGGAGACGTCTGGGTTGTCGGGTTGTTTGAGGTCCTGCAGGCAGCAGGATACTAGTAAATGTTTACTGACAACTGTGGAAAGAAAGAAGTGTGCTTCTATGTGTACATGCATGTTTACCATCAAGTTTATTGTTGTACATACTCAGAATAGTCAAAGCATATTTTTTCCTGTAAATTCCTTTAGTCACTTGATGCTTGTAAATTGCCAGGACGTCTTGCCTCTGATCAGCTTAGGACAGCAATGGAAGAAGTAGTACAGCTTTGCCCTAGACGATGCTTAATTTATGAGACGGGTCACCAGAGCTTCTAATGTAGTAATCATTCACGGTCTGTTTGAGGTCCTAGGATTAAATACATTGTCCGGAAAAGGGCGTGGAAGGAATGAGTAGATCGGGAAGACACAGAGGGACCCAGCCGTGACTAACAGCCATTTTCAATCCTGTTTTCTCAATTTAAGGCAGAAGCAGTGAAGCCGACGAGCAGGGCCACGGAAGACGGAGGGGAACGTTTTGGGGAGATCAGCAGTGTCACATCCTAGAGGGTCAGAGGGAGCAGTGTAGAACAGCAACCACTCCAGCAACATCAGCAGATGTCTCTAGAATAGTGGTTATTGAAGCTAAAAACTCCTGTTTTTTTAAAATGGGTGGGAAGCGAGAAACTACAGGCTGGCATTTTAATTAATTTCTTTATGGGACCTCAGTATAAGGCAGTAAGAAAGGATGGTGGGTTAATAGAAATCACTAGTAAGATTTCACGACATCTGACACGGAGGGAAAGCACAGGGGAAAATGACAGACATGGGTGCGGTTTTGAGAATTTTGGTTTCAAATGATCTGAGCATAGCTGTAGCTAGGCTGATCATATTCATGTTCCTTTCATGTAGTGTTGCAGTAGAGCTCTCATTCCTAAGTCACTTGGTAGTCAGCAATTTTGGTTTCTGATTCTCCCTTTTTGCTAGACTGGAATAAAGATAGAGAATTAAGCTCCCTAAGTACTGTGTCTCCAGGGAAAGCTCTGAGATGAGGACACACGCATGTGCAAAGGGAAGATCAGTAACTGACGTTAACGCTACCACTTCTCTCAGTGTGCTTGTGAAGTTCATAATAGGTGCTCATGGCTGTGAAGTGCCCGTGGAAGACAGGGAGGACCCTTACTCCTGCAAACTGCTCAACATCACCAATCCAGGTAGGTCAGCTTTTTCTTAAGAGCGCCATGTGCGAGTTTGATGCTGAGCAGAAGTTGCCAGGTTTAGTAGTATAGAGTCTGTTTTTAATAGACTACATGACTTACTTTCTTTAATGTTTATGTCTCATTCTTTTTCGAGTGATTAATCAGGCCAGAGCTTTTACTATTGTACATTACTAGTGAAGGAGCAGCACTTTTCATTAGTAGAAAATTTTCATACATGTATTGATAGGTAACAGAATTCTTAAAATGTTTACTTAAAACTAGGTTAAAATTGTAGCTAATTTTAGCTTTTCGATGATACAAAAAATCATTTAGAGTTACTTCTGTGCCTGGAAGTCTTAATGAGCATCACTCATGATGCCATGGGTGTGAGGAAAGTTTGGTAAACAGTGTTATCAATGCAACAGGATTTCCTATGCCTTGGTGGCTTGAAGTGCAGGGTGCACTTGTTTTAAGTAAAAATAGATTTAAAAAAATACTGCCGTTTCTTAACTGTTTGCTTTTTAATACATATTGTTCTTCTGTAGATGTTCTTATTTACTGAATATCTTAAAGCAAAAATTTTGTTATTATCCAGTACAGGTGTCATTTATGCTGTCCGTCAGTTCTTTGCCTAGCTCATGGGAAAAATCTTTTATCTTCCTTTTTTCCCTCTTGTTCATGTATGTAATTACACAGGAGCCATCGCTTCCCTGAAGTCATATTTGATTAGGCACCTACTAAGTATAAAATAGCTTGTAGGGACTCTACAGTGGAGAGTCAGGTGATCTGCGAGAGTGTGGGAAGAAAAATGAAGTTTCTGTTTATCTGAAAATAAGAAAAACGTAATCTATATTAATACTGAATATATAGGTTGAACACAACGCATGTGTATGTTTTATGAGTGTACGTATAGGATTTGTTTTGAATGAGAAAGCTGTGTAATCAACAATTGCTTAAAGACAATGCCACCATCATACAAGGTGGCTGTGAGGATGCGAGTTTCGTAAGGAGTGGCACGCAGTAAATAAAGGCTCACTGTGTTTGACAGTCTCATCAGTGTTTCATAGCAAGAAGTGTTCAGTGTTAAGTGATTTCTGTTAATTTTATATTATACCAATTGTCTGGCATATAGCATGTTTTGAACTGCCCAAAAAGAAGAAATGTTTTTGCAATTTGCAGAACAAGATCAAATTTTCTGATTATTTGTGACTTTTTATTGTTCTTGTTTATTCATGTTTTTCAAGTGGTTGCTTCCAGTTGACTTAAATATAGTATTCTGTGATGTGCACACATGTGTATACAGGAATACATTAAAGTAGTTCTGACAATTGAATAACTCATATCATATGTGTCAGAAAACTTCACTCTTAATTTGGAATGTTTTGATTTTCTGGAAGCAGGCATGTGTGTCAAGAATGTTTTATAAATTCTTGCCATGTGTGAAGGAAGTATAGCCAGTGTAATTGCCTAGATGATGCTGTCAGTTCCATCACGTGCTTCACGTGATGAATGTAAAAGATTCCGGTGTTTAGGTGACGCCTCTGTTGTCATTGTCTCCTTAGTTCTGAATCAGGAGATTGAAGCCTTCAGTCTTTCTGAAGACACCTCATCAGGACTCCCTGAGGACCGGGTGGTCAGCGTGAGCTTCCGCGTTCTCTACCCCATCGTGATTACCAGTCTAGGAGTGTTCTATGATGCCAGCGATGTGGGCTTCCAGAGGAACATCACCGTCAAGCTCTACCAGGCAGAACAGGAGGTGTGTACTGCTCCGCACAGCGTTTCCCCCATTTTTCTTTTTTAAAAAACAATGTTTTCCTGTGGTGGATTGGAAGGTTATATAATTCTGTCTGGTTGGGAGACTTCCTACAGTTTGTTCTTCATTGATTGAATGCATGAATGTATAGTATGTTATAAAGCTGGTTTGGGGGAGATTACCTACGAATACACGTGTTATACCTAGAAAAGAAGTTGGGACCAGCATTGTTTAAGTGGGTTAAGCTGCCAGCATCCCAGATTGGAGTGCTAATTCAAGACCTAGCTCCTTCACTTCTAATGTGACTGGGAAGGCAGTGGATTATGGTGTAAGTACTTAGGTCCCCGCCACTCATGTAAGAAACTTGGAGTTCCAGGTCCCTGACTTTGGCCTGGCCCAGCCGTGGTTATTGTCAAGAGAACCAATACATGGAAGACCTTCTGTGTGTGTGTGTGTGTCTCACAGTTTGCCTTTCAAGTGGATGAATCAGTCTTTAAAGAGAAAGAGTTGGTCTGGATTAGAAATTCTTAACCTAAAATCTTTTAAAGCTGAAGCAATTTTAAAACTTGTTAACTGATGCATAAAATGTTTAGAACTCTTAGGTTATATGAGAATCAATGCCTCTTCCAACCCTAAAAGTCTGGAAAGAAGACTAATAGCTGTTTCAGATCTCTTTTAAAATTATATTTATTTGCTTTGAAACAGACAGGGAGGGCCTGGCACAATGGCTCAATGGCTGAATCTTCTTGCAAGTACTGGCATCACCATATGGATGCTAATTTGTGTCCCAGTTGCTCCACTTCCCATCCAGCTCTCAGGCTTTGGGCCTGGGAAAGCAGTAGAGGATGGTCCAAAACCTTGGTCTCTGCATCCATGTGGGAGACCGAGAAGAGGTTCCTGTCTCCTTCCTTTGGATTGACTCAGCTCTGACCATCTTGGCCATTTGGAGAATCAACCAGCAGATGGAAGATCTTTCTGTCTTGCCGCCTCTCCATAAATCTGATTTTTCCTTTCCAATAAAAATAAATGTAAAGAAACTGATTACTTTTTTTCCTCTTGAGAATAGATAGCATTTTCCTGTGTTATCGTACGCCTAGAAACTTCAGATTATATCCTAGGTACAACAAATGGTTCATTGAGAGCTCTGGATTCTTGCAAGTGCTTTGGTTTTTGCTTTTTGGTTAAGTGTACTTGAAACCGTTTCTCCTTGAAAGGCAGCAGCTAACATCTCTATGCGGTTTTGGCCTTAGATGGGCTGCTTTGGTTTTGTCTTGAATGTGTACTTCATGAGTCAGCCACCGATTTGGGCAGAGTTTATGTGAAGAATGTGTGATTCTTTCTCTGATTCTTTCCTATCTGGGAAGTTTTCATCCTACTTTTTTTTTAAGGTTTATTTTATTTGAAGGCAGAGTTAGAAAGCGTTAGAGTCATAGAGGGAGAGAGAGCTTCATTCTATGGATCATAGTGGCCAGGACTGGGTCACGCCAAAGCCAAGGGCTTTATCTGGGCCTCCCATCTGGATGCAAGGGTCTAAGTGCTGCTTTCTCAAGTGCGTCAACAAGGAGTTGGATCAGAAGTGGATGGCTGGGGCGTGAATGGCTTACCATACGGGATGCTGGTATTACAGGTGTCACCTTTACTTGCTATGCCACCCCTCATTCTCACTTTTTAGCTAAGGTGTTTGCCATAACTCTTTGGTCTGATTTTTTTAAAAAGATTTATTTATTGGCACTGGTGGTGTGGCATAGCAAGTAAACCCCTTGCCTGCCACACCTATGTTCCATATGGGCCCCGACTGGTGTCCTAAAAGTTCCACTTCTCATCTAGCCCCCTGCTAATGGCCTGGGAAAAACTGCCGAATATTGTCCGAATGTTTGGCCCTGTGAAACTCATGTTGCAGATCCAGTGAAACTTCTTGCTTCAGCCTGACCCAGTGATGGTCATTGCAGTCATCTATGAGTGAGCCAACACATAGAAAATTCCTTCATCCATATTCTGTGTCTCTCGCACATACACATTTATTAATTAACTTTGAAAGAGTAACAGAGAGGATAAAGTCTTTCATACACTGGTTCATTCCCCAAAATTGCCAGAACAATTAAAGCCAGGAACTCTCGGTTGCCCAGGTGGGTAGCAAGAGCTCAAGTACTTGGGTCATCTTCTGATTTCCCATGCATGCTAGCAGGGAACTGAATTAGAAGCAGAGCAGCTGAGAATCAAAGTTGCATTTCAACATGATATGACAGGGTTGCAAAAAGAAGTTTAATGTGCTGCACCACAGTATTAACCTCTGCCCTCTAATAAGTTTTCATTGGAAATTGTATGCCCTAGAATTGTGCCTTCAGACTGGTGCTTGTGGGGAGGTGCATACCCCATGCTTTTCTCTTCCAAGAATGGATTGTCTTCCAGTTTCTACCTGTTTGCTTATTTAGTTATCTCTAGGAGAACTGATCTGTTATTACCAGAGGCAGCACCTCATTCAAGTTTTCTTGCATTGTTTTTTATTGATGTTGATTGTTAACAAATAGTGCATTTTAAAGCGTCATTAATTAATACACAAACTAAGATTACATTTCTTTTTTTAATCATTTTTCTTAGTCTAAAAAATTAGTTTAGCAAGTGTTCATACACATAAATAAGAGAACAAATTCTGATATTTGCAGCTGTTTGGATTACACTGAGAAGAGCTTTCTCAAGTTACTTGAGAATTTAACTGTGGTTAAGGTAGTCGGGAGTCATTTGGAATTATTTAACTGTAGAGTTGGTTAAAGATTTAATTAAAACTGGACCTCAGATAGATATTTGAAATAATATTCTGAATTTTGCTCATTTAGGAATTTCTGAAGTAGTTGTTTAATTTGCTTGATATAGTCTCTTTTAACTTAATAATGTCTCAATTATCAGTCCAGTAGTTTGGTTCATACCTGTTTTGGTTCTGTGAGTGGATATTTTCAGTTGCCATGTTTATAGCCAGAGAGAAGTTAATAATCTTTGTCCTCAAGAAAAGACTAGTCTAAGGTGTGTGCTGATGGGTTCATGGGTGGTGACAGTGCAGAAAGGACTTAATGCCCTTCTAAGGACTGGCATGCATGAAGGAAATAGACCTACTGCATTGAAGCATTCTTAACTTTGGCCTTTGGCATGCTCCTGGTATCTTTACCAGACACTTTGCCGTGGCAAGTTGAGAGTATCAGAGTTAGGAGATGTTCTGGCCTGAAGAGTGATGCACATGAGGAGCAGCCTCTAGTTGGTTTCACTCATGTTAGTCTGTGAAGGTTTTGTTGTTTTTGCTGTTTCTATTAAAGGATTTTCTTTTAAAAAAAAAATCTACTTGAAAAGCAGAGTTGGATAAGAAGATAACAGAAGTCTTCAATTCACTGGGTCTTTCAGGCTCCCGTGTGGGCCTTCTTGCGCTTCTCTCCCAGGTACATTAGCAAGGAGATAGATTGAAACTGGAGCCACTGGGTCTCGCACTGATGCCCTGTAGGGTGCCAGCACTCAGGCTGCAGCAGCCGCTTAATGTTTTGTCCCACAGCTCCCAGCCCAAAAGTTGTTTAATTTTTAACAAAAAATGTAATTGAAGGGCAGAAGTAGACACACAGAAATCTTCCATCCACTGGTTTCCTCCCCACTGCCCACAATAAATAAAGTTGGGCCAGGGTGACGCCAGACGACTACAGCTCAATCTGGGCCTCCCTTGTGTGTGTTGTAGGGCCCGTGTATTGTAGCATTCGTCACTCCCTGCCTCCGAGGGTGCACATTAGCAGGGAGCTGGGATGGGGAACAGAGCCAGGACATTGAAACCAAGCAGTTTAGTCTGCAATGGGAGCACCCTAAGCAGCATCTTAACCACGTCACTGCATGTCCCGCCCCACTGCCCAAGGTTGGTTGTGGAGACTCCTGACTACTAAGAGACCTGTGACCTTTCCCTTTATCCTCTGCCCCTGGAGGGAGTTTTGGGAGTACAGGAACTTGGCATAACTTAATAACACTTTTTATCTCCTGTGGTGCTTTTCATTGCAAGGTCAATTTATATATTTAAGTTAAGTGAGAAATGAAATGATGAGAATTTCATGACGACTTTAGTTATTTTTAATGTCTCTTTAATAACCACGAGACACTGGCATTGAGGCACAGCATGTTAAGTTACCACTTGTATACATCGCATCCTGTATGACAGTACCAGTTGGAGTCCCAGTTACTCTGCTTCCCATTGAGCTGCCTGGTCATGCACTTGGGAAGGTAGCAGAGGATGGCCCAAGTACTTGGGGGGTCTGCCACCTTTGTGGGTTTGGCCTGGTCCAGCAATGGCTGTTGCAGCCATTTGGCGAATGACCCAATAGGAAGATCTGTTTGTCCCACAATTTCTGTCACTTTCCCTTTCCAGTAATACATCTTTAAAACTGATAACCAGAAGACCCAAGCGCTCTTGAAATTCCAGAAGAATGTTAGTGTCTGGTTAAGGTCATTGTGGATGAAAGGTGTTTAAAAACTTACTGCATATGTAGAATATGACATCAAGTTTTTTTTTTCTGTTTCTTCTGCCTCTTCTCCCCTCCCCCATTTGTAGGAGGCCCTCTTCGTCGCTCGCTTTAGTCCTCCAAGCTGTGGCGTGCAGGTGAATAAGCTGTGGTACAAGCCTGTGGAACAGTTCATCTTGCCAGAGGTACGGGGTGGAATGAGGTGTGCCTATCTGCTCCTCCATGGAAATGGGACATGAGCTCTGCAAGGTGGGCACTTGGTGTTGTGCCCTCTCAGGGCGGCTCTCAGAGTGGCAGCTGAGGGGACCCAGCTGGATGTCCCCGAGTGAGGCACTCCATAATTGCCTCGTCAGAGAACTTGATACCTCAGATTGCAAGGTCACACTTTCTGACACGTGTGGCACGTGGCCCGTTTTTACTCTGTGGAGTAGACAAGTGCGTGAATGTTGTAATAGCAAAGGAGAAAACTAGTAATGGATTGACAGAAGACCAGAAAAACAAATCAAATAGTTTCCTTACCTGAAGAATGGGGGGAAGAAATCAGATGGGCCCCATTTCCAGGCTGGATAAGACCTTTCCTGCAGGGTGGGCAGTGGTGGACATTCTTAAGTAGATGTGTGCTGGCATCTCCCGGTGCCCTGAGCCCTGGGGTTAAACGCAGGGTGGTTGCAGGGACACATACTCTCTGAGTCTCAGCCTTCCCAGGCTATTTTAGTATGGTCTGCTTACATTCCTGAGTGCAGTGCTTTGGGAACCAGAATAGCGAGTCTGTTTACTGGCCATCCCTGAGATCGCTGTGGATGTGCCGTAGGGTTCCTGTTACAGCACCAAAGCTGAGTCAGGTTGTGAAAGCTGCACAACCAACTACCCTCCCGGCTAACTGGGAGACTTACTTCCACTCATCTTTTGGAATGTGCTCATATGAATAGGCTGCAGGTTGTCTCAGCTCAGAGTGTGTGTTTAAAGTTACATACATGAGGGCCCGGTGCAGTAGCCTAGGGGCTTAAGTTCTCACCTTGCACACACCAGGTTCTAATGGGCACAGATTCTAATCCTGGCAGCCCCACTTTTCATCCAGCTCCCTGCTTGTGCCCTGAGAAAGCAGTCGAGGACGGCCCAAAGCCTTGGGACCCTGCACCCATGTGGGAGACCTGGAAGAGGCTCTAGGCTCCTGGCTTTGGATTGGCTCGGCTCTGGCCATTGTGACCACTTGGGGAGTGAATCAGCAAAGGGAATATATTCTTCTCCGTTTCTCATTCTCTGTATATTTGACTTTCCTATAAAAAATTTTTTTTAAATCTTTAAAAAGTTACTTACATGAATTATGTGAATATGAGAGCGATCCCCTTTCTACGTGTATGTAAACCTCTATTAAAAACATTTAAAATACAAGCAAAACTGACGCACACTAGAAGATAGTGGAAAGCACGGATAGGCTAAAGGTAAGCATTAAAGATGACCAGGTTTCCATATTCCAGAGCTAATCACATTTACCAGTGCTGCTTCCGTGCATGTATCGATACTAGGACTGTTCCCGTTCATCCCATCTCACTACCTCCTTTCAACTTACCACAAACTTCTTTGGATATACACTCGTTATTTTATATTGGCTGCGCAGAATACCACTGTGTGGAAATACTGTTACTTAACCCCACAGTTGGATGTCGATATATTTCTAGTGCTTCGGTGCCTAGAATGAGGACTGAATGTACATAGCTGGCTATTTTCTTAGGAAGAATGCACATTTTTAAAGCATGCAGTCCTCCTCTGAGTAGTAGCAAGCAGTTTGTATCAGCCTGGCTGGCCCTTAGCAGTAGGTGAGAATACCTGTTTTCCTGTGTATCTAATTTTTTAACTTTCATATATGAACTTTACTGCCTTTTAAATATAGACTGTGCCATAAGGTTAATCATTTAACTAGAATAGTGGCTCCAGTGAGAGTCTTGTTGAGGCCCTGGATCTCAGTGTTTCAAAGAAGCCATTCTTTGACTTATTTACTCAGTGTATTTATGGAGAGCTTACTATGAGCCAAGCGCTGGGGCCATTGTTAAGATACAAGACCGACACCCTTGCCCCAAAGCAGCTTGTTCACTGCTGGAGAAAGAACTAACACTTTGTGCTGTGTGCTACTGTTAGCTCTGTGTGTGTGTGTGTGTGTGTGTGTGTGTGTGTGTGTGTGTGTGTGTGTGTGTGTGTGTGTGTGTGTTTAACTAATTGCTAAGTTCTTTTGGCACTGAGGCAAGTCAGCCTTTGCTTTCTGTTCCAGTCTCCTATGGGCACAATGACAAATGGTGTAGGAATCTCAGGCTAGCTGTCCTGGAAGTTGGGAGCTGGTACCTTCTGTCATTTCACAGCAGAAAGTCTTTTCTGGGAGGTGACTGTGGCACTGAGACTCTGCCAGTACAAGGAGTTTTAGAGGAAAGTAAAGTACATAGCACAGGTGCCATGGTTTGAATATCATTTCTTCTCCTACCTGAACTTATGCAGGAGTTTCTTTTTTTTTTTAAGATTTATTTTGTTTGTATTGGAAAGTCAGATTTATAGAGTGAAGGAGAAACAGAGAAGAAGATCTTCCGTCTGCTGGTCCACTCCCCAAGTGCCTGCAACAGCCAGAGCTGTGCCAATCCAAAGCTAGGAGCCTCTTCCAGGTCTCCCACTCAGGGGCTGGGTCCCAAGGCTTTGGGCTGTACTTGACTGCTTGCCCAGGCCACAAGCAAGAAGCTGGATGGGAAGTGGGGCTGCCGGGATACAAGTGGTGCCCAGATGGGATCCTGGCACGTGCAAGGCAAGGATTTTAGCTGCTAGGTTGTCGTGCCTGGCCCTTGATTTTACTTAAACCTCAGTCTACAGCCTTCCAAACCATGAGACATAAGGGCTCGTTTTATGTAACTGCTGAATTAGTTCAAACTTAATGTCTGCCTGCTGTCCAGTCACAGCCTTAAATAGGTGCTTTTCCCCGCTTGAACATTTGCAGTATCTTAGTTACCACTGTCCTCAAACTCCGCCCCTGCTACTGGGGTGACCTTGCTGAAGCTGGAACAGTGTATCACCCTGGTGCTTGCAACAACCCTCAGTCTTCCCTGCAGCCGGCTGTGGAGGTCAGAATAGCAGGAGAGGCAGACTGTTGCTTAGGCTGTGCAGCCTGAGCCTGCCTTTGATGCCCCCAAGCCCCACCGTTTCCAGCCTTAAGTCACGGCAGTGTGTCTCTCTCTCTCTTTTTTTTTTTTTTAATTGATTACATTGCATTATGTGACACAGTGTTATAGGCACTGGGATTCTCCCTCCCTCCCCCCCCCATACCCCTACCCATGGTGGATTCCTCCACCTTGTTGCATTACCACAATTCAGGTTCAGTTTCTAGAGCAATCCTGATGGTCATTACAAGAGAGGGTGGGGTCCCAAAGTCGGAACCAGGCAAGGACCAGAGAAAGCTCCTCTCCCTAGTCCCGAAGGAAGTTTTCTGCGGACCGCTCAGTGCTCCTGGTTGTCGTTCCAATGGCAGGATTTGGGCTTCTTCCATCCCATGTGATAGATCCAAATGGGGTGGGTGACCTCAGAGTTCTCGGCCTCCGAAGAGTGCCACTTTCTGAGTGTGTGTTGCTGTTGCTCCCACCTGCCCGGCTCTCGTGGTCATTGCAAGTTCAGGCTGAGATCCCCAGCTGGATGACTTTGTTCCTTGCTGCATCCATCATGGCATGTTCTAATCACTTGAGGAGTCACACAGGGGACCATTAGGACTTCAGCAGCAAAACAGGAAATGACTCCCAGCCCAAGGCACCCAGACACTTGCGGTAGCTAAACTGTAGAGAAGGGAGTTTTCATTTTTACAAGTTTGTAAGCCATTCAGCCATTGTTTCACATGAATTTGGATGTAGAAGTACAAGGCAATGAGGACTCATTTTCCTCATATCTGCTAAGCTAACATGAACTTATTTTGCTAATGAATCATCCTAGGGAACATGTGATGCAGTTGGGATTCTCAAACTGCTGATGACCCCATAATACAGTAAAAATGTTTTTGAAAAAGTTTAGCAATGTGTACCACAGCCCACAAAAATACCTCTTGTCTCATTAATGTCACTTCTGGTAAATTTTAAAATTTTTTTAAATTGAGGGACAAGTAAGCATTGACAACAGAATGTGCCAACATTATTTTAGTGCATATCTGATCACAGACCGGTGTCTGAAGACATTTGGAAATGTCCGAGTCAGTCGGGTGAACCTACCCAAGGCAGATTACACCGAGAAAAGGGATTGTTGACACCTCCAACAGTGTAAGAAAAGGTTTGGTGACAATAGGAAATGACCAAGAGCAGCATGCCAAATTGTCTCTTTATAATTGTATTTTAGAAGTATTTAGGGGCCTGGTGTGATAAAGTAGCAGCTAAAGTCCTCGCCTTGAATGCACCAGCATCCCATATAGGTGCCGGTTCTAATCCCAGCAGCTCCACTTGCCATCCAGCTACTTGCTTGTGGCCTGGGAAGGCAGTCAAGGACAGCCCAACGCCTTGGGACTCTGCACCCTCGTGGGAGACCTGGAAGAAGTTCCTGGATCCTGGCTTCAGATATGCATAGCACCTGCCATTGCAGTCTCTTGGGGAGTGAATCATCGGACAGAAGATGTTTCTGTCTCTCCTCCTCTCTGTATATCTGACTTTCAAATAAAATAAATCTTTTTTTAAAAATAAATTTAAAAAAAATCTTTAAAAAAATACATGGCAGCAATAAAGGAGTTAACTGACTGTTCATGTTTCCACAACAGAGCTTTGAAGGCACCATCGTGTGGGAGAGCCAGGACGTGCTGGGCCTGGTGTCACGGAATCTCCACAGAGTGACGGTGAATGATGGCGGGGGAGTGCTCAGAGTCATGGCAGTAAGGCGTCTTCAATATTATCATTTTTATATCATTTAGTAACTTTTTTTGGCTTTTTCTTTAACACATAAAAGTGCCTTATTTCATGTGAGTTTAGGCAGCATGAAGCCTTGATTATATATTTTTAAGCATATGTAGCATGAAATATTGAGTTGTCACAGTAATACCTAAAAATTTTTGATGTCCTATATGATTCTATATTAGGGAACATATAATTTTCCTTATGATTGGTGCATGTTTAAATGTAATATTTCATTGCTTCATTTTTTTCCTTTTTAAATTTGAAAATACAGAATGAGAGAGTGCTCCCATAAGCTGGTTCACACCCTAAATGCTGATATAGATGGGGAAGCTGGTTACACTCAATGAAGTAATTTTTGAATTGAGAACCAAGTTCAAGCATGAATACTCAAATAGTTACAGGAGGTTGAAAGATACTCAACTAACTGTGAAAAAAAAGCAGGTGATTAGTCTATTCTGAGAAAGCTCTTATGTAAAGGAAAATGCTGATCATAAATGAGTAGAGCAGAGTTTTTGCTAAGTAGTGCTGCTGTCTCTGCAGCAAGATGCCAAAAATATTTTAGGACCAAACTAAAAGCCAGTTTAGAGAAAAAAACAGTAAGCAGAAAATGCTACCATTTTCTAACCAAATGGGACAGTATGGAGTATCATACTAGAGAACAGCCTTTTACAGGAGGGGTTGCACGGTTTGGTCTTGGCATTGACCTGTTGTCAGTGTTCTGCAGCATTCTCTTCCAGATAATCCCCTTTCTTCCACGTTGAGTTACAAATTTTAAACTACATACGTGTAGTACAACTTGCAAATATTTACAAAAGAACCAAGCAATATTCCCTTAAATAGATGAACGTGTGAAAAAGCACTATGGAAAAAAAAAAAGCTGAGCCGTAACTGACCATTTGGTCGAGGTCATGGCAGCTAGGGCCTGGCTGTGCTACATGTGCCTGCTGGCGTGCGTGTGCAGAGACAGGCAGTCAGGAGGAACTTGAGGTGAAGAGAGGCCTAATCACCAAAGCTCCTTGTAGCGTAGGAGCAGAGAGGACGGTTGCTGGAAGTGGCCCGGTGTCTCTGCACCTGTTAGACCACAGCACTGATCAGTCCTCTGGCTGAACCATTTGAGACAAGTTTTTGAATTAAAAGAGCTTGGCCATTTCATTGTAAAACATGCCAAAGAGTGTTTGAACTCAGGAGAATTTTCACTCTCTACCAACTTGGAGGTGGCATTAGTTTGTTTTATTATAATTTCTTTTCTGATACGGGGTTGTAAACAGTTGGTTTTTGCACTGTGATGGTAGAAAGTACAAGAACATGCAGCTGGAATCTGAGCACTACTAATACCTGATCTTAGATAACAGAAATAGTAGACTGTGAGATGCCAGCCTGCTTTAAATATCCAGTGTGCCCGCAAATCTGACATGGATTTATCTGCTGCACAGGAGTCATCATGTGGCTTTTGTCCAGGCAACTTCAAAGTGGAGCAGGTTTTCTTTCAGTAACGGAGCACTGAGCACTTCCATTCTCATTTCTTTCAGGCTGGGGAGGGTGCACTGCCTCGTGAGCTCGTGGAAGGTGTGGAGGGAGTCGCAGGTGGTTTTATTTATACTATCCAGGGTAAGTTGGCTACCTGAAAGCATACTGAATCCATATTCTGTCTTACTCTGATTATCCTTTGGCATAACATGTTTTTGTCATTTAAACAATATTTTTATTGAAATATAATTCACACGTTTAAAAGTATTTAGTAGTTTATGGTTTATTCATAAGATTCTCAAAAAACTTCTCAGCCATTTCCTTTAATTTAAGGATGTGTTCATCACTGCAGAAAGAAGCTCCATGCAGATTTACTAGCAATTTCTCCCTGTGGTTTGCTAGCAGCCCCTAAAAACTACTGATCTGGTATTTTTCGTTGTCTTGATGATTTAAGGAAAGTGGAACCATACAGCCTGTGGTCTTTGAGTCTCGCTTCTTTGGTCTGACATAATGTTTTCAAAGTTCATGTTAGAGGTGTGTCAATACTTCACTTCTTCCGTTGATTGCACAGTTAACCCTCACTACGTTTTATGTGTTCATTAGTTGATCAATATTTGGATTACTTCCACTTTACAGTTATGAATAATTAATTCCCCAGTGAACATTCATATACAAGTTTTGTGTGGTGACATATTTTTATTTCTCTGGGTTAAGTGTCTGGGCTGTATGGCAATTCTTTGTTTCACCAACAGTTTTCCAGAGCAGCTGCCTCATTTCACATTTCCACGGTTGATCTGTGAGGGTTCCAACTTGTCCATGTCCTCATCAACACATAACTTCTGCTTTTCACAGTCCTGTCCTGGTGGGTGTGATGTGGTATCATGACTTCAGCTTGTATTTCCATATGATTAATGATTTTAAGCATATTTTCCATGTACTCACTGGACCTTTGTGTATCCTGCAGATAAATGTCTGTTTAGGGCCTCTGCTTATTTTTACAATTGAGTGATTTATTTTCTTATTTTTCAATTCTAAGAACTTTAAAAATATATTCTAGATATAAGTCCCTTATCAGATATAAAACTTTTAAATACTTTTGCCCTGGGGTTGTCTCTGCAGTTTCTTGATGGTGCCGTTTAACACATGAAAGTCGTAAGCTGTGATGCAGTCCATTATTATCACTTAGATGGTTGGAATCACATCTGAGAAATTGCTGAGATCAGAGGTCACGAGGATGTGTGCTGAGAGGCTGATGGCCAGCTCGTGCATGCAGGATTTTGTATGAAATTCATCCTTACAGACAGCATGAAGTAGAGGCTTACCTTTATTCCTTTGCATGTGGAGATCGGGGTGTCCTGGTAGCACTGTGTGAAAGCTGGTGACCGTAGGAATGTGAAGCAGTGCAGCCGCTATGGCACACAGTACATTCCATCAGACAACTACAAATAGAACTACCGTGACCCAGAGTCCCACTTCTGAGTATATACCTGAAAGATTTGAAATCAGTTTATTCAAGAGATCTCTGCATTCCCATGTTTTTTAAAACACTGTTGAAAACAGTGAAGTTATAGAATCAACCTAATGTTTCCTAACAGATGAATAGATAATGTAGGGCATGTGTGTAATGCAATATTATTCCAGCTTTGAAAAGGTAATTTGCATCCAGCTCCCTGCTTCTGGCCTGGGAGGGCGGTCAAGGACAGCCTAAAGCCTTGGGACCCTGTCCCCACATAGAAGATCTCTGTCTCCTCCCTATAATTCTTTTTTTAAAAAAAGATTCATACATCTTTTTTTAAAAAAAGATTTATTTATTTTTATTACAAAGTCAGATATACAGAGAGGAGAGACAGAGAGGAAGATCTTCCATCTGATGATTCACTCCCCAAGTGACTGCAATGGCCGGTGCTGCGCCGATCTGAAGCCAGGATCCAGGAACCTCTTCTGGGTCTCCCACGCGGGTGCAGAGTCCCAAAGTCCTGGGCAGTCCTCGACTGCCTTCCCAGGCCACAAGCAGGGAGCTGGATGGGAAGTGGAGCTGCTGGGATGGAAACCAGCGCCAACATGGGATCCCGGTGTGTTCAAGGCGAGGACTTTAGCTGCTAGGCCACACCGCCGGGCCCAAAATACATCTTTTTTAAAAGATAATTTTGCCTTTGCAACATGAATGGGATTGAATAACATGCTAAGGGAAATAAGCTAAACACAAGAAGGCATACCACACATTCTCATTTATCTGGAATTTAAAACAGTTGAACTCATAGAAGCAGAGAGAATGGTAGGTACTGGAGTTTGGGGAGTGTTGAGGGGTGGGAAGCTTGTAATGAAGAGCTACAAAGGTGGGACGAATATGTTCTTTTAGTTATTTGTATGTATTTGAAAGGGGAAGTGACATCTCACAATCATTGGTTCATTCTTCAGACAGCTGCTGTGTTTAGGGCTGGACCGGGCTGAAGCTAGAAGCCTGGAACTCCAGCCAGGTCTCCTGTGTTGCTAGCAGGGACCCAAGAACTCAAGCCATCCCTTACTGCCTCCCAAGGTGCACATTAGCTGGAACCTTGGTTGGAAAGGAGAGGCAGGACTCAACTCCAAGTATTCGGATGTAGGACACAGGTATCCTACGCAGTGACTTAACCTTTTTTCTTTTTTTGAGATTGATTCTTCAGTGTAGTGGAGATAGCTTATAATTGAATACTGAAGCCAGTATAATATAATTAGGCTAATCCACTGCTTGCAGTGCCAGAATCCCATGTTAGAGAGCCAGTTCCTCCATAGCAGCGCCTCCCTTTATAATTGATCTCTCTGTTAATGTGCCTGAGAAGGCAGTGGACAATAGCTTCAGGCACTTGGGCACCTGCCATCTGTTTGGGAGACCCTGTTGGGGATCTGGCTCCTGGCTTCAGCCTGGCCCAACCCCTGCAATAGCAGGTATTTGGAAGATATGGCGGTAGATAGAAAAAGTCTGTCCCTTCCTTTCTCTCTTGCCCCCCCACACTGCCTTTCACATATATACATGCATGCATTTTTAAAGAGATTTATTAATTTGAAACAGATCTGTTGGTTCACTGACTAGAAGGCTGCAATGGCTGGGGCTGAGCCAGCTAGAGGCCAGGAGCTTTTTTTCCATCTCACATGGGTGGCAGGGGCCTAAGCATTTGGGCCATCTGCTGCTGCTGCTTTCCCAGGTCATTAATAGGAGTTGCATCAAAAGTGAAGCAGCTGGGATTCAAACCAAAGCCCACCGGGAATGCCAGCATCACAAGCCAGGGGCTTTATGTGCTGTGCCACAACATGGACCGCAGTAAATATATTTTAAAAATATATGAAAGTCACTGAGAATAAATTTCAAATGCTCTTGACACAAGAAATTAAACAATTGGGATGACAAATGTTTGAGTTTGATGTACTCATTCAGATGCAAAATCTTTCCTTCCTTCCCTTCTCTCTAATTCTGCCTTCAATGAATATGGGATGATATTCCATTTATGTCTTCTCAGATAAATTAATGATTTGTTAACTTTGACTCCATTATAATTTAATTGTTCTTTAAATTTCTTTTCTAGATTGTTCATTTTTATATGGAAATGCAAATGATTTTTGTATATTGCTCTTGTATGCTGCAACCTTGCTTAACTCATTTGTTAGTTCATAGCTTTGTGGGTACCTTGGGGTTTTCTTTATACGTGATCATGTCTTCTGTAAATAGAGTTGAGTTTTTTTATTTGAAAGGAATGGAGAGAGGGTGAGTTACCTTCCATCCATTGGTTCACTCTCCAAATGGCCTCTGTGGCCAGGGCTGGGTCTAGAAGTCAGGAGCTCTTGGGGGCAGGGTCCCAAGCACTTGGGCTGTCTTCTGCTTCCCAAGGCGCATTAGCAGGGAACTGATCGCAAGTGGAGCAGCCAGAACTTGAACCAGCACCCTTATAGCATGCTGGCCCTACAGGCACTAGCGTTACCTGCTACAGTAGAATAATGGCCCTGCGTAGAAATGGTTTTGCTGCTGCTTGCAATTTGAATACCTTGGGTTTTTTTCTTACGGAATCATCCTAGATAGAATATACAGTAGAGTGTGTGGAGAAGTGGTTAGAGTGAGCATCCTCTCTTACTCCTGCTGTATTTACTCTTTTTGTTTTTTAAGATTTATTTTTATTATTTTTTTTTATTGGAAAGGCGGATATACAGAGAGGAGAGACAGAGAGGAAGATCTTCCATCCGATGATTCACTCCCCAAGTGAGCACAACGGCCAATGCTATGCCGATCCGAAGCCAGGAGACTCTTCCGGGTCTCCCACGCGGGTGCAGGGTGCCAAAGCTTTGGGCTGTCCTTGACTGCTTTCCCGGGCCACAGGCAGGGAGCTGGAAGGGAAGCAGGGCTGCCGGGATAGAACTGGTGCCCATATGGGATCCTGGGCGTGCAAGGCGAGGACCTTAACCACTTGCGCCACCGCGCCGGGCCCTGTATTTACTCTTATTTCAGGTTTAGCTTATTCGTTGAAAAGCTTATATTTAATTTCTTCTCTCATGCTGTTGACAACTATTTTTCTGCTAAAGTGATTTTGTCACACTTCCCTTTAAGTGTTAAATGATTTACCTGTATCCTTTGTTAAAGAAAGAATATTAACAATAGAATGTAAGGAGTCTAAAGGGATGAGACCTGCTTTGTGACTGTGCTTCCGGAAGCATAGTCTCTGACTCACCTTCATGGGGATAGCCAGTAAAAATAGGGTGGAGTCCAGGTAGGTCTGCTCAGAGGTGCGGGTGTCTGCGTCTCCCAGCCACATGGCTGTGACTGGGAGAACCCATGCCAAGCCTGGCTTCCTGCTGGGGATCCTAACTCCCCATCCACCGCAGCACAGCGGTGGGTGAATCCTGGGCTTGGGGGTAGTCAGAGTGACAGTGGAGCCAGGCGGTCTTGGGGGGTCTGGAATTACTGCCTAGGGACATCCATGGATAAGGCCATAGTATCTCTGCATACAGACCAGAGATGGACTCCCAGTGAAAGAATTAAAAGTCTCCTAACAGTAAGATGATGGACTCCCTGACAGTGCCCATGCCTACATTGTCGGGAAACACTTCACCACCACCAGGATGGACTTGGGACTGTTCATGAAGGACAGCCATTGTAAAACTAGAGGGGAAATCCATGTGGGGGCGGGTGGCATAGGAACCGTGGGGAAAGGCACAGGCAATCCCAAAACCTATGGAACTATATCATAAAACAAAATAAAATGTTAAAAAAAAAGTTTCCTAGGCCCTACCCCAGACCTTCTGGGCCTTCTAGCTTGAGGCCCAGGGCCCTGTGTTTTAGTAAGCATTCCTCAGAACCACTGATTTACCCAGATGGATGAGGATGTTGCAGCTCGGGGTTACTGGGATGCTGTAATGTGTCCTGTGACTGAGATAGTGGCAGAGTAGAAGTCAGGTATCCTAAAGGTCCTCAGGTCCAGGTATCCTAATGGTTCCACCCCTCACTTGCAGTTTGCGTGAGGAGTGGAGGGCCACACCACTTTCTCCTGTCTTCCCCCATGCCTCAGCAGCTGTTTATGTAGGAAGTCTTCAGGTCATGTTAATTATCTCACTGCTGTATTTTATTGACAAGTATACTGTAATTAGTGGCTGTTTTCAGAGATCTCCTTTAATGAATGAGACACTAAGAAAATTCTGATTTACTCTGCCCTAGTGAAAAAATGGCTGTCTTAAATTCCTGGATCCTGGAGTAATTCCTGCATACGTCACAAGTTACAAGAGATGTCTTTAAGTCACACTAATCATTGTTTCTATTATTAATGTCAGAAATGGGAAAGGGTCTTTTGTTAAAATGCCACTTGGAACGCCTGTGTCCCATCTCAGGGCCTGGGTTGAAGTCCTCTCTCCACTCTTCCTGGATTCCTGTTAACAGCCTGAGCGGCAGCGGGGATAACTGAGTAGCAAGGTTCCCACCACCCATGGGGACTTGATCGACCCATCTCTGGACTGTCAGGGGCATCTGGGAAGTGACCCAGCAGATGGGATCTCTCCCTACCTCATAACACACAAATGAGCAAACAAATTGTAATAAGTAAATTTCCTTTGAAGAAAATAGTGCTGTAAAACACATCCAGGTACCAGTTGCTCTGAATTAATACAAGGTAGTTTTGTGGTAGTTGTTTACAATTTTTTTTAAGAAATAAAACATTGCAGGTAGAGTTGAAACCTTCACTTTTAGTTCTCCATTCTCTGTTTCCCTTGGAGGGGGCGAATGCACTGTCCTCAAATTTATGTATACACTGTCTGTTATGCTACATATTTGCATATCTTAAGTAGTTTACAGTTGTATTTTACAAGGAATATCAATAGTATAACAGCATGTATACTGTCACTTAGCAATTTTCACTCGGTGTTATTTTTTTGGGTACCATTCCTTCTAACATGCACAGTCAGGTTAGACATTGTATACTATTAGGAGACTCTACCATGGTATGGCTATTTTCTGTCAGCATTGAGGTTGGTTGCATACCACCCCCATATTCTGTTTCCAGTATTACGAACCCGCTGCCATGAATACCATGTGACCATGTACAGTGCTGTCTCTGGGACTGGCACCTCCAGCCATCTTCAGGCCAGGTGCTGTCATGCTGCTCTGCAAAGCATCTGTGTCAGTTCACTTTCCCATTAGCCATGTGTGAGCATTCCCACTTCCCTCCCTAAAATGTCTAACAGATACACTGTTCTTGCAAAAAGAGCTTTAGTGTGCATTTAAATTCTGGGTCTTAAGTGTGCAATGCAAGCACTTTTCTGTAACTCTCCACTTTCCTTGCAGAAGGCGATGCTCTGTTGCGCAGCCTTCATTCTCGCCCTCGGAGACTCATTGATCACCTGAGAAATCTCCACGAGGAAGATGCCTTACTGAAGGAGGAGAGCAGCATCTATGATGATATCGTTTTTGTGGATGTAGTCGACACTTACCGAAATGTTCCCACAAAACTGCTCAACTTCTATAGCTGGTAGGTTAAAACTGCTGTGTTATTTACTGCTTGATCTTGTTATTTTGAAATAGCAACATTAAACCAGAAAGGAAAGTAAAGAAGTCCAAGACTGCCGAACCCCTGGCATGTGACCTGTTGTGCTCCGGCTCCTTGGGAACACATCTACAAACGCTGCTCGTGTCCTCCACTGACAAGGACACAGTGTGAAGAGCATGAACTAGTCAAAATCAAGGCAAAAAATGGATGTGCTGAGTCATTCCTGGACCCCCTGGTTGCCAAGCTCGCATTCACTGAAAATGCGGGTTTGGAAGTGGTCTCAGTTGTATTCATACAGATTCCCAAATGACCCACTTACTCATTTATGCCTGGGTTACTGATTTAAATTCTGTTCAACTGAGTTTCTACCTTCTACTTCCATTCTCTTGTCTACCCATTTAAAAACTGCCAGCCTTGATTCAAACCTTTTTTTAAAAGATTTGTTCATTTTTATTTGAGAGGCAGATATTACAAAGAAGGAGAGACAGAAAGATCTTACGTCCATTGGTTCACTCCTCAGATGGCCAAAAGGCAGGATCTAAGCTGATCTGAAGCCAGGATGGGAAGTGGAGCAGCCAGGACATGAACAGGTCCCCATATGGGATGCCAGTGCTACAAGTGGTAGATTAAAATTTGCTAACCTACCACGCCAGTTCCAAGTCTGAGACTCTAATGCAAAAGCACTTGGAAAAAAGTTTGTGGAAAATAAAAGATCATGATATTGGCTCAAAAAAAAAAAAAAAAGGATGGGGGGAATTCCAGGTGAATTAGGAGTCTTGAGAAAGTTCATGGAATGGGTGCCAGTGATGTGACTTAGTGAGTAAAGCTACTGTTTGCAGCACCAATATCCCATTTGAGTACTGCTTCGTGTCCTAGTTATTCCACTTCTGATCCAGCTCCCTGCTGATTGGCCTGGGAAAGGCAGGGTAAGATAGCATAGTGTGTGGGCCCCTGCTGCCCCCTAGAAGACCTGGGCGAAGTTTCTGGCTCCTGGCTTCCACCAGGCTCAGCCCTAGTTGTTGTGGCATCTGGGGAGCGTGCCTGTGGATGTAAGATCTCTCTCTGTCACTTCCTCTCTCACTCTTTCAAATAAATCAATCTCTTTTTTTTTTAGATGGAAAGTATATATATATTATGAAAACACTAAGCACAGATTTCAACATTTTTTTCTGTGATGCTTTAATTCCATGTTCCACAAAGCTTTTGAAGTAAGCTCATATAGAAGGCTCAGTGAAATTTAGCAGCCCTGAGAATCTCTCATCACTTCCCAGACCCTTCGGTGACATCACATCCTGTTTTGTCAACAGGACTGTGGCCACTATCAGCTTCGATTTGTTGCTCAAGACAGATGATGACTGCTACGTAGACTTAGAGGCAGTGTTTAACAGAATCACCCAGAAGAATCTGGATGGGCCCAACTTTTGGTGGGGAAAGTAAGTTAACCTTAGTACCCATTGGCACTCATATACCTGACAAAATGTAATTAGTACAGAATGAAATGTGCAAGTTACTTTGTCACAAGAAAAAGGTGATTAAGATATGAAATGTCCAATGTTAGAATACATTTGTGGCACATTTCTGAAACCATTTTCTGTGCTTCTTCAGGAATATGGATTCATGATCTTGGAGAGGGGGGAATCTGTGGTTTGGGTGTTTGTTGGGTATATACTAAAAATACACAGTAATCTGAATCATTCCGTGCAGCATCGATGATTATGAAATTAAGATGTGTTTTCTTGTTCATCTCACCCTCTGCAAGTATATGCCTTTGTAGCCACGTCATGTGGACTCTCAGTTTCAGGTTGAACTGGGCCGTTGACCGAACTGGGAAGTGGCAGGAGTTGGAGTACCCAAGTCCTGCCTACCCTGCCTTTGCATGTGGGTCAGGGTACGTCATCTCCAGGGACATTGTCGGCTGGTTGGCAAGCAACGCAGGCTGGTTAAAGACCTATCAGGTAACAAACATTCTGCCCTAAGCACTTACTCATCACCCCAAGTTTCCCCAGACCCACGTCCCATCCCCAAAAGCAGAGGCGGCTTCTTAGGGAGGCACTCGTCTGGGTGGGAGCCCTCTTTGGGTAGCCAGCCCTCAACCCTTGGCTTCCATCTATTCCTGACTGGTTTTCAAGCCTTATTCACCTGTGCAGTCCCCGAGAGGAATACAAATGCTTCTGTCCTTGAGGAAGAAGACTAAGGAGACTAGTACCTCCTTGCTGATGCAGCAGTGGTGCCGATAAACAGCTCTGTGTCTGTAATCCTATTAGTGCCTAAACTCTGAAGTTGAAGGTGCATGGGAAGTGTGGACTGTATTCTTGTTTTGTGCTGTGGGTGTTTCAAGTTAATGGCCATAGCTTTTACTTTGTGCACGAGTGTTCATCCATATTTGGCATTTCTTATAACAACAAAACAAAGCCATGGAAAGATTTTGTTATTATGAGAATGGCTATGGCATTGTCTTTACAACTGAAATAGCATGTAAACTTCTGCTTTTAAACTTTACGGAAAATGTGTAGGGTGAAGATGTCAGCATGGGCATCTGGATGGCTGCCATAGGACCCAGAAGGTACCAGGTAAGCAGGCGTGAGGAAGGGCGCTGGCTGAGAGCTGAGGAAATGGGGGTGGGCATCTGGCCACATGCTGAAGTAGCTGCTCAGAGTCCTGCATGCCTGTCATAGAAAATCTGCCATCATTATGCTTTTAAGTGACCAAGAGATCTTTCCATTGACTGATTCATCCTCAAGTCCCTGCAATACCCAGTGCTTGGCTAGGAATCCATGCAGGTCCCCTAGGTGGATGGCTGGGACCCCAACTCAAGGAAGCTGAGAGGGGATGTGGATGGCCTACACACCTCTTCACCACTCTGCCCAGTGCCTGCCCCTCACTCACTATTCTTCTTAGTTCAAGAAATGTTCTGAAATGGAAGGTTTACCATTAAACAGTAATTGAATCTACGTAGATTAGAATCTTCGCATCTTGAAAATGATAGAACCTGCTGGCTTGAGCTTCTGGTTGTAAAGCAGTCTGTTATCTAAATAAATAAATATAATATTGTAAGAGCATTTAAAACCCACTAACTGTTGAGCCAGGAAAAAAAAAAGTTGCTTCTGTAGAGAGCAAAGGGCGTGTGGGAGCTTGGAGGAAGCGCATCCAGAGCTGGCTGCCTTGGGCCTCATGTTTCTGTTCAGTTCTGGACTCTGGAAGCTGCACTGTGGCTGCTTAAGGGGAGGGCTTAGAAGGAACGTGCCAGGCCTGTGGGCAGGTCCCCTTCCCGGAGCTGAGGCTCCAGTTCAGTGCACACCAGGTCCGGAGGAGCACGGCACAGGCCCAGGGGCTGTGTGATGGCTTGGACAGTGCAGTTCCTTGGTCACTCTGTCCCCTTGCCGAGTTCTGGTATCTGAGGTTTTGCCAAATTTGCTTCTCTCATCTGTTCCTTCAGACCATTGTTTGTGGATCTGTGTTTCCTTATCTATTGAGACTTTAAATCATGACCTCATCTTTGTAAATGGAGAGGAGTATTTAAAATGTATTTTTAAGTTATTTGAAAGGCAGATTTACAGAGAGAGATCTTTCATCAGCTTATTCACTCCCTAAACGGTTACAGTGGCCAGGGCTGGGCCAGGAAGAAACCAGGAACCTGGACATCATCCAGGTCTGCATGTGGATGGCAAGGCCCTAATGAGAGTCAGCTTCCATTGCTTTTAGAGGTGCATTAGCAAGGAACTAGGTGAGGATTCAGCTGGGACTCAAGTAGAACTCACACAGGATACTGGCATTGCAGACAGCAGCCTAATTTGCCATATGACAATGTCAACTTCTAAAATGTATTCTTAATTTGTGGTTTTTTCCTGCCGTGCACCCAAGAGCCCCACTCTCTGATTGCTTTAGAGTCTCACTTGGTGTTTGGGGGCTGCAGAATATGACTGTCTGCTTGCATGGGTACAGATGCTCACGGAGGAGGCCTTTCTGTGCCATTCAGCAGGCCTGAGAAGGCAGAACCCTTCATACAGTGTCTGGTTTTCTTGGTGTCTGCTTTGTGGCACGCAGGCTAAGCCACCACCTGCACTACCCGCATCTTAGGAGACTGAGTCCTGGCTGCTCCACTTCCAACACTCTCCCTGCTGTAGCTAGGAAAGCAGAGGGTTTCCCTGATGTCAGGGCCCCTGCTACCATGTGGGAGACTCGGACGGAGTTCCAGGCTTCTAGCTTCACGTTGGCACAGCTCCACCCCAACCATTACAGCCATTTAGGGAGTCAAGAGCAGATGGTGTCTTTCCAACTCTACCTTTCACATTTCCTTCCCTTTGCTCATCTTTTCCTTCTCTTCCCTTTGCTAATTCACTCCCTAAATGGACATAACAGCCATTCCTTCACCGCCCCCCCCGTGGGTGACTATCAGATTGGAAGCCAAGTAGCTGGGACTCGGACTGGTATTTCCACCTGGCTATCCCACATTGCTGCAGTCTCTCATTGAATGGGTTTCTTGCTAAGTAGTCTGCTGTGTATCTGGATACAGATGCCATGTCAGAAATCTAGAAAGTACCCTAGTAGGTGAGCTCTTGCCCTCAGTGGTCTATAATCCTGCCCAGCATTTGACATCACTGAACTTAAGCAAATGATGTAACCTCAGTTTCTCATTTGTAAAAAGGAAATAATTCCGCCCTCACAGGGGTACAATAGGTCAGTTATATTTATACTTAACAACACTTGGAGGGCCCGGCGGTGTGGTCTAGCAGCTAAAGTCCTCGCCTTGAACGCGCCGGGATCCCATATGGGCACCGGTTCTAATCCTGGCAGCTCCACTTCCCTTCCAGCTCCCTGCTTGTGGCCTGGGAAAACAGTTGAGAACGGCCCAAAGCTTTGGGACCCTGCACCCATGTGGGAGACCTGGAAGAGGTTCCTGGTTCCCGGCCTTGGATCGGCGAAGCACCGGCCGTTGCAGTCACTTGGGGAGTGAATCATCATCCCCTCTGTCTCTCCTCCTCTCTGTATATCTGACTTTGTACCAAGTTTTTTTTTTTAATTACAGTCTAAACATTGCATTATAGGAGTAGCTGTTAATACTACTGTATTAATGAAACTCTCCACGTAGGGATTCCATTTGCTTGCCCTTAGTGCATGCACCATGTGATTTCTGTATTCCACAGCCATAGGATTATGGAGCTGCTCCTTCCCTAAAAACAAGAGGGACCAGCCGCACTCCTCCAAGGCAGTCACCCCAGAACCATCCTAAAATGCCTGGCAGCTGTTAGGACACAGGAAAGCCGCAGCTGTACACGCTGTGTCTGTTCAGACAGCGCCCAGTTCTCAAGTCAGCTTGTCTTGCTTTCCAACAGGACAGCCTGTGGCTCTGTGAGAAGACCTGCGAGACAGGCATGTTGTCTTCTCCACAGTATTCGCCGCAGGAACTGACAGAACTGTGGGAACGGAAGGAGTCGTGCGGTGACCCCTGCCTGTGTGTCGCAAGATAGCAGTGACTTGATGCCACCATGTTGAAAGTGGTGGTAGGCGAATGCTATGTGGAGGCTGGCTCCTGGTCGGGTGGTAGAGTGCGCAGCTTCTGGGCAGAGCATGAGCTGGCCCTGTCACCTGTACCCAGTGTGGTAATGCTGTTTGCATGGATGACCTTGGTAAGAACCAATGGATACTGTAGCTATAAGAAGTTTTTAAACCATATATTTGAAGATGCTTAGGAAAAGTACCAAATTATTTTATAAAAAAGATTTCTAAATGCATCATGGCTAATTTAGTAATAATTAATAATGATTACCTATCATTTTTGGTTAAAACTTGGCCTAGTTCAGAAAATCTCAGTATATGCAGAATTTTAGCATGAATGGTAGAGGAGCTTCATAAAGATAATTATGAACCAAAAAGAATGCAGCTGCCCTGTGATCACATAAACCAGAGCTGGAGAGAGAGATGGAATTAGTCAGATTGTGTGGGTCTCTGAAGTACAGTTTGAACATGAAAAAGAACCAATAGCATTCTAAGTTCTGGCCCATCCATGTAGTAGATTGGTAGCTATCTGTGCCATTTAACAAACCCGAAAGATGACAGTTTAAACAAATTTTTGTGAATAAGAAAAAGTAAGTACTTCTCAGGGTTTTTGGTGCCGTCAGGAAAGATATTTCAAAATCATTGGCACTTTGAAAGAATTTTTCCTGTCACTGCCTATATTTACATGTGTTCAGTTTAGTTGTAACTGTAGGGAAAAGCATGTGATTGGTTTTTAAGCTGAGAAAAGAGATAATAGCATATGTTACACCTGGTGGAGGATGGGACATTTCCCAGCAGGAACAACCAAATCATGTTAGTGACCATAATTTAATTGTTGGTTTTATCACAGACATTAACTATGTATTTAAATCTTCACATAATGAAATACAGTGGTGAACTTTAAATATGAAGATCAGAAAGCTCTTAAGGCGTAAAGCATTTATTATTACTATTATATACAAAGTCTCCTCCCCATAAGAAATACATCCTTTGTCATTCCCAAGCCATTGATTTCCAGGGAACCCTAATCATGATACAGCTTAGTCTCAATTTTATTTGTTGGTGTTACCGTCGCACTAATAGACAATCTCCACTTTCCACAGAATAAAACTGCAATGACTTTAAGTCATTTTCTAGTTCAATTTCTCTGCCCGGCATCTAAAATTAGAGCAAAGGTTGAGAGACAGGGTGATTATGGCAGATCTAACAAAGCACATTATATGGTTATACATATCCTCCATGTCCCCCCAAACAACCGGCCCGCGGATCACCCTATACAACTAATGGACACAAGATCTGCCTTGACCATCCGACAGTGTTAGGAGCAGCCTGAAATCGCTTGTCAGGTGTGCGGGGCTGGGCTTTACTTTAGGAACTTACTTTGGTACTTTCATAGGACAGCTGAAGTTCTGACACAGGAGCTTTGAAAAGACGTGAGAGCAGTCCTTTCACCTTCTGAATAGTCATGGAGTCTATCAAGAAAAAGAAAAACCCCATCAGTTCTCTCAGAATGACAGGTACTTACACTACAAGCTCACATGACCACACTGGCTGGGCTAACAACTGTGGCCGTGCTGTCTCCTTACCAGGTAAATAGGGACAAGCTTGAGTCACCTGACAGGCTGTGGGAAACTGACCCAAGTGCTCTTTGACAGTGAGGTTTCATACCACTCATTTTAATACTGCTTGTTTTGTCTTTACTCTGAATAAACCAGAAGTAGTGATTGCAGCACAGAAAAATCAAGGGTATGAAATCATTAATTTTCTTTCTAAACTTTTTTCGTTACTTCCTCATTGCTGAAGGAACGCATGGAGTAGCTGCCCCGAGGACCCTCAGTCCTCTATAAAATCAAAGTGTAGACCAAGCGGTCTGCAGGATCCCTTCATTCGTAATGATTACCACGTCTGTGTTACACAAGCGACTGCCTGGGAAGGGAAGCGGAGGAGTAGGTGCTTTGGTTTATTCAGAAAATGCTTTGAGTCTCTTTCCAAAGATGGTTGTGGTAAATACTGGCTATTTTTATTATGAGAACTATAATTTCTTTGAAGCTTTAGCTGGAGGTATGGCAATACAGTAGTGTGGTATTCCTAAAAAAATGTATTCAAACATATTTTTCTATCGTTTTTTAAAAGCTGTTTTTATGCAACTTGTAATAAATGTTATCTTTATTTTAGAATAAAATCTTGGCTTTTTCTTGTTTATATATTGGATACAGATCTATGTTTTTAATAACAATTTTAGCTGTGAATACATAAGTTAGCAAACCGCTGTTTGCCACACTGCCATGTCCATATCTGAGCCATGGTTCAAGTCCTAGCTGCTCTGCTTCCCTTGCACCTCCTTGCTCATGTAACTGGGAAGGCAGAAGATGGAACATTCAGGCCCCAGCTACCCACTTGGGAGATCCAAGATTTCTACCTAATTGTTTTTAACATTTATTTATTTTGAAAGGCAGAGTTACAGAGAGGAGAGACCGAGACCCTCCATCCACTGGTTCACTCCCCAAGTGGTTGCAGGGCCCCAAGGACAAAGTAGTGGAGGATGGCTCAAGTAGGAGGCTGTATCACAACAGCTGGGACATGAAGTGGTGTCCACAGCAGATGCTGACCATGAAGGCATAACCTGTTACACCACAGTGCCAGCTGCAAGAATATCTGCCTTTCAAATAAATGCATCTGCCAACTTGTACTTGATCTGCAGAAGAAAAGGACAGCTTGCATAGAATAATGTAAGTACTACTTGCAATATGGTGGTGTAGGATTATTTTAACCTTCAGAAAATAGGAAAACTGATGATTAACTTGATTGTGGAAAGGTAAAAAGGCAAGTAAAGTTTTAATGGGTATATTTCCAGGCTTTATTTCTATGAGGATATATATAAAGTTCATGAAAGCTGCCTATTTTTCAGATAAATTTTTAAAAAATTCAAGAGGAAGAGACACGGAGCTCTTCCACCCTAATTCACTCCCCAGATGGAAGGAGCTTCTGCCTTCAACCTGGCTATCTTAGCCAAGTCTCCTAACCTGAGTGACAGGGCCCCAGATGAACCTTTGGAGGTTGTCTTCTGTAATAAAGTTACAAACTAAGCTATATGAGTAAATCAACAGACACTTGAGGCTAGTGGCAGCCGTATTGAATATAACATATAAGACTTTTCTCCTTGATGCATGGTAGTATGCTGTATGGTTGTACCTGAGTTTATCTAACCATTCCCCCACTGTAAATATTTACTTTCTTACAGAGCAGTTAATATGACTTGACAAAAAGGAAATACCAGTTTTTCATGCCAGTCATTATTTTTGCTAATTTGATATGCATGATGTTTTGCCTAAGAATTAAGAACATATGGGACTGATATTGTGGCATAGCTAGTAAAGCCACTGCCTATAACTCCAGCATCCCAGAGGGTGCAGGTTCATGTCCTGGCAACTCCACTTCCGATCCAGCTCTCTCATGGCACAGAAAAAGGAGTGCCAGCTAGCCCACATGGCAGATCAGATGAAGCTCCTGGCCACGGCTGGCAGCTATGGCCTTCTCAGGAGGGAGCCACTAGGTAAATTACACAGAAAGGAGAGACAGACCTTCTGACTTGAAATAAGTCTTTAAAAAAGAAAATAAGAACCCAACTACTCGGTTTACTGCTGTTTACAGGTAGGATATAGAACTGATTCTGAATAGCTTACAGTGGTAATTATTACATAGAATTTCTGGAGATAATTCTGATAGTTCTACTCAAAGGTTCATGAAAATAGAGCATGGATACACAAGTAACCAAATCTGCAAAGACTCAAGCATCATGCAGGAGGAAAGAAGGGGAAGGGGCTGCCACCCACAGTCAGCAGCATGTCCCTACACAGGCCTGACCAGGCCTCTGAGCCTGCAAAGGAAAGCTAATGAAGGCTCAGGGACAACATTCTCAGGAGAATATTCCACGTAATCTGAAAACGGGAAAGGAAAAATGCAAAGCCACCTAAAGCCGGTGACGTCACCTAGGAGTCCTGGCCCTCTTTAAGTCATCTGCCCTAAGAAAGCCTTTACTGACGGGGGAAAATCGTCAGTTCACTATATATAAGAGCCAAGTATCCCAGGAATAAATTAGCAAATAAAAATGGAGAAGTAATGGAGAACTGGATGGTTCTCAGAAAGCCGATGAAGGACACGGCCTTCCTTAAGCACTATCAGATAAGCTTACTCTATCTGACTTAAAAATCAATGTGATTTTACTGCACTGACAAGCACATAAGGCTTAATCATTTGCTGGTCATTTAGGCTGATTTATATTTCATTTCGTCCTCACATCCTTACTGTTCCACATTGAACATGCTTGTATTTCGGCATTTATTTAGGAGCCAACTAATTCTTTGGATTTCAGAGTACCATGGCATACTCAAATGTAATTTTTCTTTGGAGAAGAAACTGAAGGTATAGTATGTTGATTTAATTTACTTCCATCAAAGCATTTTCCACATAACCAATTTGGTTCCAATAGAACAAATGTTCTAACAGATCTTTTATAGTATTTATGAAGCTTATTTCAGTGAGTCCATTAAAAGAGCATGTGAGAGCGGTGACTGCTGGGACCCCTAGCCAGGACTGCATGCAAGGAAAGGCATCAGTGTCCTGGGGCCACTAGGACTTGCCTGCTCCTTTATGCAGGGAAGAGAAGAATAACCTTACCCCAAAGTAACAATAAGAGGGGAATAACCCTAACCCCGTTAGGACTCAAACAGCAGTGGGCATGGGGCATTGCTGAGAGGCTGACCTTCTGCAAAGCCAGATCCATCTATAAGGGCTTCTGGTCTTAAACTATTTTATAAATAAGCTGACACAATTATGGGAGACCCCAAAGTTTGGAAGATAGGGGAGTGATCTTAACAAGAATCCTTCACATAGTTCCTAAAAACTGTGTGTCATGAAAAAGCAGTGCATGAATTTCAGAAAATTTTGCAACAAAATAAATCATTCCGTTTTTTCAGGAAGTACAGAATTCTAAAACAGATTGAGCTAATGAGAACTCCTCAGTTCTGCAGCCCACACTGCAAGAATTGGATGTTTTTATTCCCTTCTACTCGGGCCTCGGCTGGTGCTTCTTTCCCAAGCGCACAAAGGGAACATGGGTTCGCCCTTACCTGGCAGTTGCTTCTCTAGGACTTGCTGACCCACTTCATTCAGATATTTTATCTTCAGTGCTTTAAAGAAAAAAGGGTAATTAACATCTACAAATGTTTATATTAGCCATACAAGTTGATGATAAAGCTAGCTATTCAGTATATTTTGACTCACTCCTAACAAACAGATCTGATTTGAAAGTTCCTTCTAGAAATAGTCTCCTGAATCCCAGCAACCACAAATGCATGGACCACCATCGCGCAGCTCTCCTTTTCCCCTCAGCCTCTCTGCACACGGAGCTGGGTGTCCACATCACAGCTCAGGGCATTACTCAGATACCTCCCATCCTGGCCCACCACTGGGCTTAACGCTCGGGAGCTGCCGAACCATCCAGTGAATTCACATTCAATGTTTTAGAATTCTCTCAAACCCCAGGCACAAACGTGAGAGAAACATCTGTCCCCATTGCTGTCTGCATTAGTGCCTGAGGACTCTAACACAAGTGAGCTGTACTGCATTTGGGACTCTTACTTAGCAGCTGTTTTTTGAGCACAAACGGTTGTTGTGTTTGGAATTCCTCATCTTCAGGCGCACCGTACTCTGACAAGAAATGAAAAGGGAATGATGGTAAACCCAGTGCCTGGCAAGGACCAAGGCCTACAGCGAGGTGTTGGCAGAGCCCTTTTCCTCCCAGGACACATGGAGTGACTGCACACACGCTAAGCTGCGATCCGTTTCCTTCTACGCAGTCGTTTGGGCATACCCACCCCTCTGTCACTTGTGTGCCACCTTCTTGTCAGTTCGACAGGGTCCTGACTCCAATTAGCAGTGCACGGCTCTGCTTCCAGACCCTGCAGACGTCTGCTCCCTCTCACCTTAGTTTCTGGGAAACGAGTCCTCAGACCTGTCTCAGCAGATCCTGCAGTCCCAGGCTGGGGTCCCGGACCCCAGGGCACACTGACCCCCTCCTGCAGGGCAGCCTCTACCTGAGAGGGTACGGGGAGTGGGACAACAGCCTGTCTGTTTACCTGAGCCCCTGAGAATGCTGGCAATTACAGACGCAAAGCGCCTTGCAAAAGCTCATGGAAAATGGAATAACAAGCTAAGTTTATTTTGGTAGCAAAAAATGTTTTTGAAATGCATGGATAGTTCGTGATACACATTTTTTCATGTATTGTAGAATAGCTTATACCATAGTAAACTTGTAACTTTTTTCATTCCATTTTCCCTGAACCTTTTGAAATACCCCAGAGTACCAAAACTTAGATATACCATGCTATTTCCTAAGCTAATGTAACTTCCAAATCACAGATTAGTACAGCAATTACAATATAATAAAAATCACATGAATGTGGTCACTCACAATGTACTTTCATCTCAGTGGGAGCACTCCACAGCTTCTCTTTAGCATATCTGAGTTGCTGGCATCACTCCACTTGTGCTTTGGGACCATTATTAAATAAGGCTTATTTGAATACAGGCACCCTGACAGGCTGACAGTGACTTAGGTGGCTACAGGATAGGTAGGACACACAGGATGGACACACTGAAGGATTCTCCGTGTCCCAACAATTCAGCACGTCAGAATGGCACAATATAAAACTGCAGAAAAGCAGCCTCGGATG